TGCCCCGGGCCCACCTCTGACTCCCACTCACCAAATTCATTTTGGCACTCTGGAGGGCCTGCTGCACAGGCCCAGGCACCCGCTCAAATAAGTCTGCACACAACTCTTCGAACTCCTTTCGAGTCACTTTTGCCTTGAAGTCCACATCATCCACGAGGCCCTCAATCTGGAGGAGGATAAGGAGTGTCAGAGTTCTCACCCAAGTCCTGCTCCCTGAAAGGACAGGCCAGAAACCAAGAGAACAGGACTTCAGAAGGATGGCAGGAGGCACAGGAAAAAGGGATGGGCCACACCAGGCCCAAGTAGCCTAGTTCAGGATAGTAGGGTCCTCCACTCTTTGGCTGAGGAAAATTGCCCTCAACCAGTGACATGTGGGCACCTGTGCCATGTGGTCAGCATTGGCACTCAGGATAGTTTTGAGTCGATTAGCCTCACGTAGCAGCTTGGCCATGGCACGGGGGTTCTCCCTCACGTCCTTCCCTCTCTGGCCTTTGTGCTGCTCATTGAAAAGCCTGGCGAGGTGGTCACGTAGGCGGAGCTCCATCTCCAGGCCCCCCAGGGTACGGTCAAACCTGTTCAGGAAAGGTAACAGGGACAAATGTAAGGAACACATGGGGCCCCTTCACCTACACAGGAACCTGACTCTCATCCCACATGGTGACATCTCACAATGACAATTCATTCACCTACCCATTCAACTGTAATTACTGGGTATCAACTGTATTGTCCCGGGAGACACAATTTTGAGATGAAAAAAAACAAGGTTCCTGTTGTCAAGGAGTCTACAATCTAGCAATCAAATAATTATATAAAGTTTTAACTGCCCCATGTGTTATAAAGGAGGGGCAGACAATGCTGTTAGAACCTACACTTGAGAAGTTTCAGCTATTTACAGATGTCAGGGAAAGTTCTGCTAAGAAGAGGTACTTAAGCTGAAACCTGAAGGATAAGTTGGAGTTAACCAGGTAAAGAGGAAAAAACATTCTAGGCAGAGAAAACAATATGTATAAAGCTCCTGAAGTGAAAGAAAGCATGGTATATTCCAAATGAGGGCAAGTATGGCTGAAGTTCAAAGAGCAAGAGTCTCAGGATTAGAGACAATCACAGAGGCACAGCCTTATAGGCCAACAAAGGGTATTTATTTATTTATTTATTTGTTATTTTGAGAGTATGTTTATTAAAACTGGCAATAGTGAAACAAAGAAGGGTTTAGAACAGAAGCAACAGGAGAGAGTGTAGGCAGGGCTGCTTTGGCTCACTGAAAAGTCAGAGAAAAGAGGCCTTGGAGAAAGGTTCTGGAGGTTAGCCTGGGACAAACCACTGCCCATTGTTCCCCTGGTTGCAATTTTCACGGGGACCCTTATGGTTTAGGAGATACACACCTGAGAAGCAAGAAGGGTATGGGAATGCTCCCCGGAGGGAGAGTGCTGAAAAGTTTTGAAAGAAACTGGTTATGATCAAGTTGCCATTTTGAAAAGAATCCTCTGGCTACAGTGTGGAGAAAGAACTCGAGGGAGAGCACACTGGAAGCAAGAGATTTTTGAAATTCTACAGGTAAGAGGTGATGGTAACTTGAACTAGGGTGGTAGCAATAGAACTGGATGGACAAGGATGGGTTCAAGAACTAAGACAATACTGGTGATAAGTTATTTAAGTAAATTGAAATTAATGAGATAGTGAATTAAAAGGCTGAATCTGACATCCTACATATGGTCTGTAGTCTTGTGAATTTTCTTAGAAGTTCAGTAAGTTCCCTGCCTTTCAACCTTCCCAAGCTGTCTTCTCCCCACATCTTCCCCTTGCTTTTTGATAGAAGTACACTACAATAACTGATGGTGCTTTAACCAGGGCAGCATTCCTGCAGGGAGTAGGAAAGTGAGGCAGTTGCCCCTCCAAAAAGACATCCCCATTTAAGAGTCTCTCTCAGCAAGCCTTCCTCCAAACTCCCACTTACCCCACTCCTTGGATTTGCAACTGTGGCTGCATTCCCGTTTCCTTAGTCTTCACTGTCTGGTAGGTCACAATGGTGCACACAGTACTGCCTGAGCCCATGTCATAAAACATTATGTGCTGCAGAGACATCAAATTAATTGTCACAGGAATTCAACTCCAGACTGCCTGCTGCTTCCAAGGGGCTGCACCAACTCTCAACTGAAAGCCCAATGGCTCCAACATGGGCTGAGAGGAGGTGATCTGTGCCAACAAGATGCAAAATGAGCCAAATGGCGTCCATACTCAAAACAAGTCACCCTGCAAGTATGGTCAGAAGTTCTTCCCTGGCTCACCCGGGCAGTGGTGTTGATATCTTTCCGATGGAAGACACCGTAGCTGAGGGCAGTAGCAGTGTTATCATTGATGAGCTGAAGCACTTTGAGGCCGGCCATTCGAGCAGCCTGCAGCACAGCTCGGCGTTCAGCTTGATTGAAGAAGGCTGGCACAGTGATCACTGCATCCTTGATGGGCTGTTCTACAGAGGACAACAGAACAGGGTTCTTACCAGCTCCATACCTTAGATGAGGGTTTTCCAGTCTTGGCACTCTTGACATTTTGGGCCAGATAATTCTCTGTGTTAGGGGCTGTCCTGTGTATTACAGGATGTTTGGCAGCACCCCTGGCCTCTACTCACTAAATGCCAACAGCAGCTCCCCAGCTGGGACAACCAAAAATGTCTCGAGACACAGCCAAATATTCCCTTGGAGGCAAAATTGCCCCCATGTTGGGACCCTAGGGAACCTGGCCACCACTGACTCTACCTTGGCTGCTCACCTGCAAAATCTTCAGCCAGAGAACGGGAGTAATTGAGAACCATGCCCAGTAACTCCTCAGGTGAGAACTGCAGTTGCCTGGGGGAAGGAAGGTAGTTAGAGGCAAGGAAAGCCAGGCATTAAAGGAAGGACACTTCTCCAGCAGAGCACTCACGGACTGATTTGGAAGTACACGGTCTGCCTCTTTGAGTCAAAGCCTAACTCGTGCTCTGGGAAACGGTCTCTGTAAAGGGCCACATGGGGGTTATCCTCCTGCTTCCCCAGGAGCTGCTGGAAGTAATGCAGGGTAGCCTTTGGATTTTTGATGGCCTGAGAGGATGGAAAGAAGGAACAGAGCATTAGGCTCCCAAGCCCACCATCACCTACCTCTTACATAAGAGATTGATAAGGGAACAGACTCTGGGTCTGTCACTTCCTTTCCTCTACTCACTGCATCTGGCAAGGGGGTGGGCTGGTAGCTCACCAGGCTTGCTGCACTGTCTCCAAAGAATCTTTCATTTTCTTTTAGTGTCACAGCCACTGGGGTTTTCCTCCGGGATTCCCTGAGGAAGAGACATTGGGCCCAGGTGCCTATGGCAGGGTATGGACCCAGGAGCCTCAACACCACACATACAATCAATCACCCAAACACCAAAGTCTGTTGTGGCCCTTCCAAGAACGCATAGCACCTTGGAGACCAGATTCCCTTTTCCCCTACCCCTGGCACTGTGGCTGCCCTTACTTGTTCAAGACAATTTCCATGGGCACTCCAGGCTTGACAATGGCTACCTTCATGGATTCACTGCCCAGGTCCACAGACATCACTGCCAGCATATCTGAAGAGGAAATAGATCTGTCAATTAGCCCCTCTTTCCCCACCTTCCTGAGGCTCCTCTCATCAAAACACACTATTTTCTATGGAAAAGGTACAATAGCAAAAGACAGAAAAAGGCCTGAGTCCAGCAACTCAAGAGTCCAGAGGCTTCCAATTAAAAGCCTCTTTGCTTCTTCCCATCATGTATCATTCATCATTCATTCATTTATTTCTCCTTTCACCCCTCTGCTGAGGTACACACCACTCAGTGACAACAGGTCTGCCAAGAGTACAGCCATTAAGGTCCAACAGACTAGCCTTCTCTGCCTCCTGACAGTGGCTGCCATTGTGCCCCTGGGGAGGAGAAAAACACTTGTTAACTAGATGTCCTGAATGAAGGAGACAAAACTTCATCCCAAAACAGAGAAGCTTTAAAATTCATACCTGCTCCACTCTCACCCAGGGCAGAGCAGCCTACACCTCTCACCTACTCCTTACAAAAACTAAGCCTCTAATTATCCCCAGAAGTGCCCCCACAAAGGCCCAGGTGAAACAGCAAGGGCAGGAGAAGGGGACCAGACACTTTCTATTGCACAGGCAGTAACTGCCGCACCATTACACTGGTCCTACTGTCAGATACTCGGGTCGTGGCCACGGATCCCCGCCCAGGGCTCAACCACCTCCCCACACTTAGAGCTCCCCGGCCGGCACGGAACACCAGGCCGGGCCTGGAAGAGAATTGAAAGATGGTGACACTGGGGGAGGCTGGGATGGAAGAAGGGCCTGTCTACTCAGCATCCCTTTGGGTTGTGCCCCCCATCCCTGCTGCCTACACAGATGCTATACCAAGAACGTAAGGTTCCTTGCCCTTGCCCCGGCCGGGCGGGCCCCCCCCCCCCCCACCCGTGAACGGCGTGCACGGCATTCACCTAAGTCTCACCTGACAAAGACCGCGTCTCCCACTCCCGGAAATGGGTCCCGCCCCCCCCAAGCTACGGCGTGGGGGCGCCACGGGACCAAGCTGCGGGAAGCCGAGTGTCACGGTGTCTGTGCGGCCCTCACTCCCACTACCGACCCATGCCCAGAACTAGCACGTTGGTTCCCTCTAGGAGGGAAGGCCAGCTCCCATCGCCATCCCCACCCCCTCTACCTCTTGCCTCGGCTTCTGTGGCACGAGCTCCGGGACAAACGCAGTGGCGGGAGTAACTACGGGGCCAGCAGCACGACCACAGCCCGCGCCCTTCACAACTCCCCTCCGTTTGCAAACTGTTACATTACCTACCAACCCCTTAGCAGCGTCTCGCGTACTCGCCGGCTCCGGACGCGGCGCACGTTCATTGGAGCCTCCGCTGCCCGGCCCTGAGATGCGCACCCATTCCCGCCCCCCATCGCTCAGGCGCGCGCTCCCATTGGGCCACGTCCTATGCCTGTCCCTCCTCCAACTGAATCTGCTGCTCCTCCTCCGCTGCTGGCTGTGGCGGAGGGGCAAATGCACTAATTGGGGGGAAATCGGGATCCGCAGATGAGGCTCCGTTACTGGGGCTCCTATCCCGGTGCGCTCTCGGGGCCTTTGTGGCTGAGGTGCTGAATATCTTACTAGCGAGGTAAAGAGTGAGGGTGCCTGGAACAAGTGGACCCTCTATCGGCATCTGTTCCTTAGCCGTGCCAAGCGGTGATTGGTATTGCACTTCCATGGGTTTTGGATTGAAATCAAGGGAATGGCTGCGCCTCAGGCTTTATCCATCCCAATTTTCTTTGTTTCACCGAGGGGGGGGGGGCGTTTAAAAAAAAAAAGGAACACCACCAAGAGATTTTCGAGGGTGGGTTGGAGATAACACTTGTATTAGTGGCAGAATTTGACCTAAGCCCAATTTATAATGATACTCCAAACTGCAAAGCGCTACACATGACACTTATTTGTGAGGCTGTAGTTGGTTGAGCATATATGCACCACTTTATGTGCATTTAATGTTTTATTAAATCTTGTACTTTAAAGCACGTCGGGCAGGTATTTGGCTGTCCTCACTCTCTTCTCTGACCCTTACAGCCTCACCGAAATGTGCACAGCCCTTAGCGAGCACACATTTATTTTTTTCAGCTGTATTTGAGATGAGCACGCTTTTCTTAAACGTGGAAATGAATCCTCCTTTTCCTTTTTTCCAGAATTGACGCTGAGCCTTCCTTCACAGACGCTCTGTTGAAGAACCCAGCTGTGACACCCAGGACTTGTTTAAGGAACTTCTAATTTTTCCTTTCCCTACATTTCTTGTAATGCTTAGGGAGAGAATGTAGTCGGTTATCTAGGCTCAGAAGATAAACCTACTGGCAGTACCAGAGAGGGGTCTATTTTTCTTCCTTTAAGAATAATGCAGTCTTAAGGTAGGAGAGAAATTGCTAGAAATAGAGAAATTTGCTTAAAATTTTAACACACACAAATATAATTTTGAAAACATTCAGATATTCTAGATTAAGCTAAATCCCTTTGATACCATCTGCAACCTCACTCTCCCCTCTGAAGATGTATATCTGTTAACAGCATAGTGTGAAGCCTTCCAGTCATTTTCCTTTGCTTTAGTGTATATATGTACTTCATATGTACACTTTGCTTTAGGTCTGTCCAAGGTACATATCCAAGGTCTGTCCAGAAGGTATCCAGCCACGTAAATAGAGACATTTATTAAACAAGACACAAGAAACATTGTTCATAGGACAATGATGCCTCAGACCCCTTCAAAATAGACACCTTGGGACCTCACTAACGCTAATCGCTAACATTGTATTGTCCTGAATCTCACTAATGGTCTGAAATCTCTTCCTTTTCAAAGGAGATTTTAGTTTTGGGAAAAGCCAGAAGTTGCAGGGTGCCAAAGCTGGGCTGTAGGAGGGCCAAATCACCTCTACACCTGGGTCACTCAGTCACCTGGGTGATCTAATATTATGCCAAAAAACTCTTCATATGTGATGTATGAGTTGGCGCATTGTTGTGATGAAGCTACTAGTTGCCTTATAGCTGCGGACTTCTGAATCATCTGAATAGTTTCCACTGAAGAACGTTCAAGCTTAACATAGAAATTTCATGTAGGTTCATTCCTCTGGTTGCTCGTCATTTTGAATGCGATGGCCACACAGTACACATGCTCACTAGGGGTGTTTACCACCCCCACTGACTAATACAGTAAAGTCACTGTTCACCCATGTACATTGCAGTCTACTCTCTGGCTGCCAGATTTCATTGATGTCATGCAAACCATTCTCATTATATTAACAATGGCTGGACTTTTCCCAGACATACCTCATATGGCTCCCTTTTTTTGATTGATTTTAGAACAGAAGAGAGAAACATTGATCTGTTGTTCCACCTGTTTATGCATTCATTGGTTTATTCTTGTTTGTGCCCTGACCCAGGATGGAATCTGCAACTTTGGTGTATTGGGACGATGCTCTAACCAACTGAGGAACTTGGCCAGGGTCATATACATCTCTTGAAACATGTAAGTTATTGCCTTTTTATAAGTGATAAAATGTTATACAATTAGATTTTTTGTAATTTGCCTGTTTTTGGGTGGGGTAACATAAATCATGCAGTGTTTCCCATGTCTTTGTAAAGATTCACTTCATTGCTGTTTACAGCCGTAGAGCATTCTATAGCATGGGTAGTGTTTAGCTATAATGATGGACATGTAAGTTGTCATTTTGGTTCTACAGAGAAAGACTTTGTTTCTCAATAACTGAGTCTACTTTTGTCTACCTTTGGCCATCTGTCCTTTTTATTTATTTATTTATTTCCAGAAAGAGGGGAAGAGAGGTAGAAAGAAAGGGAGAGAAACATCCATTTGTGCGAGAGAAACACTGATGAGTTGCCTCTCCCCTGCCCTCAACTAGGGACCCACTCACAACTCAGGCATGTGCCTGACTTGAAATGGAACCAGCAACCTTTCAGTTTGCAGGCCAGTGCTCAGTCCACTGAGCCACACCAGCCAGGGCCAGCATACACATTTTAACATTTATTGAACCTCTGTCATATGCAAGCACTGTTCTGGGTGCTGGGGTTCCAGAGATGGGGATAACTTTGCCATTAGAAAAAGTCAGTCTGGAAACAAATTCTGTATGTTAGTGGTTTCATACATTCATTTAAAATCTATTGGTTTTGGCTGCCAATTCCCAGCAGGGGACACATGAGAGCCAACCACACATTGATGTTTCTCTCCCTTTCCCTCTCTCTAGAAATAATAAATAAAATCTTTTTTTTAAAAGTATTTTGTATTTGTGATTTTGCTATAAACTTAACTTAGGGGTAAACTCAATTTTTTTTTTTTTTGCAGGAGAGAAAGTGCTCCAGGATAAATTTTTTTCTTACTTCCTACAACAATGTTTTTAGAATTACAAAAGAAGTATGTGGTCACTGAAGAAAACTGGAAGACGTAGGGGAAAAAAGAATAAAATTTAAAAAACACCCAGAATTCTATTTTCTAGGTTAAATCACTTTTAGCATTGTGATGTAATCAATTCACACACACTCAACTTTCATGGAGATGATATTTTGTGACTGTTTTTCATTTAGTTTATTTTTATTGCAAAAATTTTCCTATATCATATTTTCCTCTAGAGAATTTTCAGTGGCAGTATTTATGGAATTGTAGCATAGAAAAGTACAATAATTTACCAAATTGCTGTTTGACATGTTGTTTCTTTTTGCTATTATAAAACTGAAGAAAACACTTTTATTGATAACTTTATATACCTCAATCCCTTAAAGCCTATTTAGGATAAATTTTTACAAGTGAAAATACAGGCTTAAATTAATTTTTTAGTCATTGCCAAATTGCCCTCCAGAAAAGTTTACCAATATGCACTCCCCAACAGCAGTGTGACAGACAGCCCCTGTATCTTTTATAACACTAGAATGTTGTAGAACATTTTGAAAGTCTTGTTGTGAATTAGGATATGGGGTGGGCTGTGAGGAGCAAAAAATTGGGAACATTTCCCAGCTTGCATTGAGACAGGGATTATTGTGTTTCCAAAAGAGAAAGAAAACAAGACTTTAAGGTTCTTGAAAATTCACAGAAAAGCATTCAGACTTATAACAAGTTTATGGGCTTCAGTATTCCAGAAGAAATTAAATTGAGCACCCAGAACACAGGGCTTTGGAGTTTGACAGGCATGAATTTGCCTATGAACTCCACCACTTCCTACCTATGTGACTCCAGGCAAGTTGTTTAGCCTTCCTGAGCCTCAGTTTCCACATCATTAATAGAGGTGTGCTGGTACGTTTTCATAAGGTTGGTGTAAACATTTTTAAAAAGGGTAAAATGCTTAGTACAGTGCATGGGACACACTAAGCACTAAACACACATTACTTAACATTGTTTTTGTCATTAGAGAAATAAAACTCAAAGGTGATATTGCAGTGCTAAAAGCATGTTAAAGACTTCCGCCAAGATGGAGGTATAGGTGGATGGGCCGTGCCTTCTCACACAACCAAGTTTAGAGACAACTGAATATTAGCAACAGAAAACACAGCCAGAACATGGAAAATTGAACTTTTCGGAAGTCTGTTAACAACAAATTCTTCAGCCTGACCGGTAAGGGGCGAAACCAGCGGCTGGTGAGGGGTTGCACAGGAGGACTCAGTCAGACGGACTCAGGCGTGGAATCCAGACGCGCGGAATCCAGGCGCAGGGTTGGACCTAGTGAGCGACCGAGCGAGCCACTAGGCGAGCGACCTCAAAGGAGACAGCGGGGAAGCGGTGCTGCGTGTTGACTGTGGTCGCCCATTTGTGCACGAGTGGACAGGCAAGGGAGTGAGCGGTTGGACCAGGGCCGGCGGTCCACGTAGCAAGCGGCAGTAGAGGGCGCCGCCATTTCCCTGCTCTGACCACACCCCCACATACAGCATCACAACCCAGCGACCTGGGAGTCCAAGGCGCCGCTTCTCACACTTAAAGGGCCAGAACAGACCAAAAATGTCACAAGTTCTCAAAGCCCCAGAGCCCATAGATCTAAGAGATGAAGAAATAGCAAAACAGACGCACAGTTTAAAACACTGGTCATCAGGATCCTCACAGAACTGGTTGATTATAGCCACAAATTAGACAAATATATGAAGGCGAAACTAATTGAAATGAATGGAATTGCACAGGACACCAATAGCAATGAAAAGGAAACTGGGACTCATATCAATGGACTGGACCAGAAGAAAGCAAATAATGGCCAAACAGAAAAGAGTCAGGAAGCACGAATTCAAAGAAATGAGGAAAGTCTTAGGAACCTCCAGGACATCTTTAAACGCTCCAACATCCGAATTATAGGGGTACCAGAAGGGGGAAAGGCACAGCCACCAGTGGAAAACTTATTTGAACAAATAATAAAGGAGAATTTCCCCAATCTGGCAAAGGAAATAGACTTCCAGGAAATCCAGGAAGCACAGAGAGTCCCCAAGAAGGTGGACCCAAGAAGGAACACACCAAGGCACATCATCATTACATTAGCCAAGATTAAAATGAAGGAGAGAATCCTAGAAGCAGCAAGAGCTAAGGGGACAGTCACCTACAAAGGAGTCCCCATCAGACTGTCAGCAGATTTCTCAAAAGAGACCTTACAGGCAAGAAGGGGGTGGAAAGAGGTATTCCAAGTCATGAAATCCAAAGACCTACAACCAAGATTGCTCTATCCAGCAAAACTTTCATTTAGAATGGAAGGACAGATAAGGTGCTTCTCAGATAAGATCAAATTCAAGTTCATCATCACCAAGCCCTTATTATATGAAATGTTAAAGGGACTTATCTAAGAAAAAGAAGTTAAAGAAACATGAACAGTGAAAGGACAACAAGCTCACAGTTATTAACAACCACACCTAAAACGAAAGCAAACTAAAAGGACAGCTAGATCAGGAGTGGAAACATAGAAATGAAGATCTCAAGGAGGGTTAGCAACAAGGGAGTGGGAGGAGGAGATGGGGGGAGAAGGTACAGAAAATAAGTAGCATAGACAGTAGATAGAAAATAGATGGGGGGGGGCAAGAATAGCATGGGAAATATAGAATCTAAAGGACTTGAGACACATGGTCATAAACTAAAGGGGGGGTAATGGTGGGGATGGGGGGGTAGGGTGGAGGGGAATGAAGGGAATAGAACAACAGTAACAGCATAATCAATAAAAAAATTTTTAAAAAAAAAGCATGTTAAATGCTTTGATGGGTTCATGGGAAATTTATGTTCTTTTTGTAGACCAGATTTTCACAATCAAAACCAGCAAATTGTTTCTCCTTTTTCACTGTAGCCTTGGGTCCCTGGACTCTCTTACACTATAAGACCCTTGAGTGTATTTTAGGTTGATCTTGCTCCTAAAGTGGAAACTGCTGCTATCCTTTTGAGATGCTAAGCAGAAAAACCCAGGCTTTTCAGTATTTTAGAAAATGGTTTCTCTCCAGGGAGCTAAAAGAGAAAAAAAAAAAACATTAAAAAAAAAGTTTGCAGCTGGAACAAGAAGTGCTCCAATGGATACAACTGTTGTATATCACAAGGGACCAATTTGCTGAAGGGAACAAGAAGGGACTGCTAGGCAATTACTATTATTTTTTTAAATTTATTTATTTTCAGACAGGAGAAGGGAAGAAGAGAGGGAGAGAAACATTAATGTGTGGTTGCCTCTTACGTGGTTCCCACTGGGTATCTGGTCCACAACCCGGTGAGTGCCCTGACTGGGAATTGAACCAGCTACCCTTTGGTTTGCAGCCTGCGCTCAATTACACCACCAGCCAGGGCTGCTAGGCAATTCTTGATTCTGAGTTGTGATCTCTAGTTTCAAGCTAAAGATTTGAATTACTTCTATAGCTTTAGTCTCTTCAAATTTGAGTTCTTACTATGCAGAATTTTAAATGAATTTGTTCACATAATCATTTTGTGTGTGGTTTGACTGCTTATCTTCCTCAGTATCCTGAAGTTCCTGGATTCAGACAAGTATAGCTAAAAGAAAAACCACGATGTATGTTCGACAAGTACAGCCTAGCTTCACATCTGAACTAACCAATTAGAAGTTAAGGAACTGAAGAACTTGTTTTATTTCCAAAGAACTTTGATGTTTTTGCCCAGAGTCACTTGAAATTCTCTGATACTCCACTTCTCATCAAAGACAATGACACTTTTGCACATGGACCCTCTGAAGAGTCTACAAAAAGTGAAAGTGCTTTGTTAGATATACTTCACTACATGAAATTAAGGGCTGGTTACTGTCAGTCTGTCTTATGTCTGCCCCTTCTAGTGGTGGTTGAACTCCCCAAAGGGCAAGAACCACGCCTTGCTCATATTTATATTCTCAGCATTTAATACAATCCCAGCAATAGTGTGTACTCAATACACATTTGTCAAAGGACGAAAGAAAGTAAGAGAGCAGGTGTGAAGAGATGTTTGAGTTGTTCTGGTAGGTCAATCTCTGCTTTTGTACCGTCACCAATGGGCACAAGGCCTTACCAGGTTCACACATCAGAAGAAGACTCTGGGTCCCTCCCACTGGACAGTATAGGGGACACCCAAGTCAACAACAAAGATGCCACTCTGTTGTTCACATCTGTTTTCATATTGCTTTTAACATTCATAGTTTTAACAACTGACATGCTATCTAAAAATTCGAATGAGTAGTACAGAATATGCTCAGCAGGTGAAAGTGGGTCCAATCTACTCCCCGTTTGAGCTTTCTGTCTATGGGTTGAGATCCTGAAACAGCTCCAATACCCGTGTGATAGAGAAAAGAACTCTAAGCTGGGATGGAAATTAGAAAATCTGTATTGCTGGTGGTGGCCAATTTGTTCCCCTCGTTTAGCTCTTTAGAATAAATGGACACTACCTTTCCTGTCAACTAGATTGAAGAGAGGAGGGGATAAGAGGAAAATCATCCACATTCATTCCTCCAATCAAATATGAAGCAACTACCAGGCTCTGTTAGGTCTGGTTCATGGTAAACAAGACAGGGTTCCTGCTCTCTAGGTGTGGGGGCAACTTTGCCCTCAAGCCCCCCCATCCACCACGGATGAAAGTAAACACTCCCAAGACATGATCTGCTTGGGGAGGAGAGGTGGCCAGTTTCTCAGAGGAAAAAGGCCAGGAGCCCCTTCCTCCAGGGCTTTTATTGGGTTGTAATACACAGGAATACAGGGCAGCAAGGATCAAACAGATAATATTTCAAAGAAATCTGAGGGTTTAGTCTGAGTCAGAGTCTGTCAGAAAGGGGGTTCGCAGAAACTTTGGGAGACATACTCATTTCCTGCTTGGACCCTTAACATAAGAATGAAAACACTCTTAGCAAAGCAGGTTTCACAGAATTTTTAAGAATTCTTTCTCCCTGGCTGGTGTAGCTCAGTGGATTGAGCGTGGGCCTTCGAACCAAAAGATCGAGGTTCGATTCCCTGTCAGGGCGCATGCCTGGGTTGCAGGCCAGTTCCCAGCAGGGGATACACCAGAAGCAACCATACATTGATATTTCTCTCCTTCTCTTCTAAAGATAAATAAATAAATATTTTAAAAAAAAAGAATTCTTTCTTATGCCAGATTTCCCCGGATTCCCTCTAGCAAGGCAAGGAGCTACACCCCCTCCCCATCAGGTTTTCAGGCTTAAGTGGATTAGAGCCACGAAGCAGGCTATGTCAGAATAGCAGGGGGTGGGGGTGAGAGTCCATCACTCCCTCTTTGTTGCAGCCCACCCCCATTCCCTGAGTCCTTTCATAATGGCCTCCCAAGAGATTGTGTCTGGCTTAGGTTGCCCCTCTCTCTGTGAGGAGTCTTACTCTTCACTGACTGCCAACCATGCTTTGAGGGCAGGGAGAGGAAACTGAGGCAGCATTCGCTACCAGAGACAAGGCAGAAAAGTTCACTAGTTTGTCTCCTGTGACTCACATCCTGGAGGTCACTCACTCATCCTTAGCCATGGGGGGTAGTTACAATTCCTGAAACCAGGCACAGTGGTCCCCAGCATCTAGGAACTCGGGCTGGTAGGTATAAAGAGTAAAATATTCTAAAACTAAAAAGCAGTGTGTGTGTGTGGGTGTGTGCATAGAAATAAACTTCACAAATACCATATGGCCACTTTTTTGCACATACTCTCAAAATGACTATGTCACTTCTGTACATAGTTCCTTGTGATACACAAACAACACACCTACAGTTTTCCATGTGGACAGTTGGTTTTGCCACAGTTGGGGATTGTGGAAGGCCAAAGAACAGCTTAGACACTTAACACTTGTTAAATCATTCAGCTCTCAGAACTGCCACTTCCAGGCTTTTTGCTGTGCTGTGTTTATGGCCCATACCTTGCCACTATGGAAAGGAAGAGAAAGCCCAGGTTCTTGGGAGTTCCCTCCCCATGGGTATTTCCCAGATTCTTTAAGAAACATGTTTTAAGTACCTGTTACGAGCCACGCATTCTAACAGAGACACGCGAAAACAAATATAAGATACTGTGTTCACGTCTGTAAATGAGACACAAAGTTCTCATTTTATTTTTCTCTCCTACACTTAAAAACCAGTTTCATATATAATGGTTCATTTATGCCTCAAAATAGTCCTGTGAGGTCACAACATAATTAACTAAGGCACAGCAGGTTACAGTTCAAAGCGCGTGACAGTGCTCACCTTGATTCTTCAATCCCCGTACACTTAATAAAGGAGGAAACTGGTGTTGAAAGAGGTGAAGACCCCTGCTCTTGAAACCCTTTTAGCCAGCTCAGTTTGACACCACAAATCGGCAAACTGCTTTGCAAGCCCTGGGAAGGAAGTCGTGCCCCACGCAGCCCCCGCCTACACTCTCCCAGCAGCAGGAAGCTCTCACCCCGACTAGAAAGCGCAGGTGCAACCAGGCTCCAGGAAGTTGCTGAGTCACGTGATCGTCACGAGTTTCTCACGTGACCTTTAACTGGGGGGCTTGGGGCCTTGGCAAAGATGGCGGCCTACCTTCAATGGCGCCGCTTTGTTTTCTTCGACAAGGATCTGGTTAAGGAACCTCTGGGCAATGATGGTCCCGCGCCCGGGGCCGCGCCTAACTCTGGATCCGCTGCTTCCAAGTTCCTTTGCCTCCCTCCTGGCATCACTGTCTGCGACTCAGGCCGAGGGAGCATAGTCTTCGGAGATATCCTTACTCTGAAACTGTCTCTTCCCTCCCCGCATCCCTGAAGAGATCCTGTTGGGTTGGAATCTTTCCGTCAGAGGGGTTAGTGTTACGTGCCACCTTCTTTCAGGTGGACGCTCACTGGGTCAGAGGAGAGAGAGAAGTCCATTCTCTAACCTGTTGCTAACCAAGTAATCTTGTATAATTCATTTAACTTCTCCTCGCTTCAGTTTTCTTGCGTAATAAAATGCCAATTCGTAGTAGGTTTGTTTTTTTTTAATTTATTTTTCGAGAGAGGGGAAGGGAAGGAGAAAGAGTGGGAGAGAAACATCAATGTGTGGTTGCCTCTCCTGAGTCCCCTGCTGGGAACTGGCCTGCAACCCAGGCATGTGCCCTGACTGGGAATCGAACCTCTATACTCTGGTCCGCAGGCCCGTGCTCAATCCACTGAGCTACGCCAGCCAGGGCCCATAGTAGGTTTTTTTAAGATCAAAAGAAAGGATGCAAGCTGGCTTTAAAAGATGCATATGTTAAGGTGTCATTATCTCCCCTGCCCAATACTGTGGGTGACGAGGTAAATGAAACCAGGAGTTTGCTGCTCTGTTTTTCATGTTGCTGGCTTTTAACTCTGGCTTTTTTTTTGTTTGGTTGTTTTTTTGTTCTTTTTTTACTCTTTTTAAGATATGGAGTCCCAGGAAATAATGTGTGGGAAAATCTGTGCAAAATTTAAAGAGCTGTGTGTATGTTGTTATCTGGGTTGTGGTCTAAATATAAGTATCTCTCCTTGGAAAGGAGGCTCCTTGACTACTCTACACATATGGAAGGCCAGATTTGGTTCTTGCCCCGCTCCCTACAGCTTACAGGTTTCCAAGCCTACAAACTACGGGTGACACACCTGTACCAGCTGAAGCAGCATAATATTCTAGCATCTGTAGGTGAGGATGAGCAGGGCATCAATCCCCTGGTGAGTCCTTGAATGGTAACAGGAAAGACCCAGAAGCCTGGAACAGGCTGTTTATTGGAGGGTGACTAGCATTCACCCATCTGAGGTCTGCCCACAGGTGAAGATCTGGAACCTGGAGAAGAGAGATGGTGGCAATCCACTCTGTACTCGAATCTTCCCTGCCATTCCTGGAACGGAGCCGACTGTTGTGTCTTGTTTGACTGTCCATGAAAATCTCAACTTTATGGCCATCGGTAAGCAGAAAGAAGGCAAAGTACCCTGGCCGGTGTTGCTATTGGACTGAGTGCCTTGCAAACTGAAAGGTCGCTGGTTTAATTCCTAGTCAGGGCTCATGCCTGGGTTGCAGGCCAGGTTCCCTAGTTGGGGCATGTGAGAGACATCTGATTAATGTTTCCCTCGCACATTGATGTTTCTTTCCCTTTCTTTCTCCCTCCCTTTCCCTCTCTCTAAAAATTAATAAGTAATTAATAAATATAATCTTTTTTTTTAAAGAAAGGGAAAGCTAAAGCTCTAGGACTTTTCCCCCCATGGTCATTTATTCTTAGAGAGAAGGGGGGAAACATCAATGTGGGAGAGAAACATTGATTAGTAGCCTCTCGAACACCCCAGCTGGGGACCTGACTGGCAATCAAACTGGCAACCCCTTGTTTCACAGGCTGGTGAAATCCAGGCTTTCTCAGTCTACTGAGCCACACCAGCCAGGATAGCTCCAGGATTCTTTATAGATTTTCTTTCTTTTTTTTTAAATTACTTATTTACTTGTTTGTTTGTTTGTTCATAGAGAGGGAAAGAGAAAGAGAGGAAGAGACACATCAATGTGTGGTTACCTCTCTTGTACTTCTACTGGGGACCTGGCCTGCAACTCAGGCTTGTGCCATAGACTGGTGATTGAACCAGCGACCCTTTGGTTCACAGGCCAGCACTCAATCCACTGAGCCATACCAGCCAGGGCTATAGATTTTCTTCGCAGTTGCTTCTTCAGCTTGTCTTCATTGGTTTCATGAGACCATTTAAAAAAAAAAAATTATACTCTTTTTTAGAGATTTTATTTATTTTTAGAGAGAGGGGAAGGGAAGGAGAAAGAGAGGGGAAGAATCATCAATGTGTGATTGCCTCTCACATGTCCCCTACCAGGGACCTGGCCTACAACCTGGGCATGTGCCCCGACTGGGAATTGAACCAGCGACCCTTTGATTTGCAGGCCTACACTCAATCCACTGAGCCACACCAGCCTGGACTCATGAGACCATTTTTTCAGGTTATTAAATTTGGAGTTAGAAAGGATTTAGTTTTGTTCTTTGGAAATGAGTCAGGGAGTACCTATTTTCATATTAACCATTGGAGAAGTTGCGTATGAGGAGAAATCTTATCACTTCTAATGAATACTTCAAATGGCCATTTGCCATTTTGTGCTTCCTGATTTTCAGCTTCAATTAAGTGCTGTTTCCTGTTCTTGTACAGGTTTCACAGATGGCAGTGTTACATTGAACAAAGGAGACATCACTCGGGACCGGCATAGCAAAACCCAGATTTTGCACAAGGGCAACTATCCTGTTACTGGACTCGCCTTCCGCCAAGCGGGAAAGACCACTCATTTGTTTGTTGTGACAACAGAGAATGTTCAGGTATGACCAGGACCTCCACTTGTAGAGGTGAGCAAGAAAGGCTTTCTTCTCCTTAGGGAGCTAGCTTAAGGAACTGGTAAGAGAGGTAGAATTCTAACATTATTCATCGTGTAGCCTTGAATCATTTGCTCAGCTTAATATTTTATTTCTTCACTTAGGAGATTGGGAAGAGTTTGAGTTTGGAAAAGAACTGGACTTGTAGTAAAAGACCTGAATTTTTTCCTTAACTTGATTGGTGACATTGGATAAGTTGCTTTACTTCTCTGGTTCTTATTGTTCCTTTTAACAGCCTACTCTCATGCATAGTCTTTTTATAAAGTAGTATAAGATCACTGTGTTTTTCTTATTTGCAGAATTTCTGTAGTAGTTAGTGTTAGAATGTACAGAGAGAAATGTGGTCCCTGCTTGTGTATTTAGTAGATGGGTGATGGTTAATGGAGAAGGCAAGCAGCCAGGGAAAGTCTTAAGGTGGTAAGAATTAGAACGAGTTAAGATGGAGATGGGAATACTTTTGGGAAGTCTTAGATACCACCTCCTCAGAGGGAGCCTGATAACCCTTTCTTACTTCTTCTAGTCCTATCTAGTTTCTGGAAAGGACTGCCCTCGTGTGGAGTTGGATACTCATGGTTGTGGTCTACGCTGCTCAGCCCTAAGTGACCCTTCTCAGGACCTACAGTTCATAGTAGCCGGGGATGAGTGTGTCTACTTGTACCAGCCTGATGAACGTGGGCCCTGCTTCGCCTTTGAGGGCCATAAACTCATTGCTCACTGGTTTAGAGGCTACCTTATCATTGTCTCCCGTGACCGGAAGGTTTCTCCCAAGTAAGAATTCCAGGGAAATGGAAAGGGAGAGGGCTGGACTTGTTCCCCAGAATTAAGCTGATTTTAAAATCCTAATGCCTGGATCCCATCAATCTTCTACTTTGGTTTTATGTAGATTTGGCTTACACATAGACTCAATTATAATGTTTTTACTGAAAAATGTGTTTTGCTACAGACATTTGTTGAGCAGTACTAGAACACTCCAGGCAATTTCAAACCTGGTATTGTTGTTTTGTTTTGTTTTTTTACTTTTTAGTCAAAGTAGATTGGGGCAGAGGAACAAGGGATTAAATAGTGGAGAAATTGGGAAATGCATGGCCCAGTATTTTTCTTCTGAGCCACCTGAAAGAGGTGGTGAGATTTTCTGCATGATGGAAGTGACCCTGTCAGGTGTTAGCTTGTTTTCATTTAGTACTAAGCACAATGTCCTGCAGTTCACCAGGCACTGATTATTTGTTAAATGAATGGATATTTGAATTCATTCATTATTTTTTTTAATCTGTTGCCTGTGTTAGTTATAGAATCTTATAGGGGTAAGGTCAGGTTTATATGTTCTCTTCCTACAGTTGCCAGCACAATGCTGCATATTATGGGCTGAGTGACTAGAGGAACCAACAGGTGATTTGTTCTGGGTATAATGGGTAGCACCAAAGTTGTCATCAGAAAAGAAATAAAGAGGAAGCTGAGACAGAGGGTTGTACAAATATCTGGTGCTTTTTCTTTTCCATACAGGTCAGAGTTTACCAGCGGGGACACACAGAGCTCTGACAAGCAGATTCTCAATATCTATGACTTGTGTAACAAGTTCATAGCCTATAGTGCTGTCTTTGAGGATATAGTGGACGTGCTTGCTGAGTGGGGCTCCCTGTACGTGCTGACGCGGGATGGGCGGGTCCACGCACTGCAAGAGAAGGACACACAGACCAAACTGGAGGCAAGGCCACCAGGTTCCCAGAGCTGGCCATAGGCACCCATACAGAGCTATAGGAACAGGCTCCCCAAGTTACCTTGGCCACAGTATATTCTTCCCATTGGGTCACAGCTCTACTCAGATCCCTTAGAGTTACAAGGTAAATGGTCTGGGATGAAGCCTTAGAGGGAAGTAATGGCTAGGAGCCAGAGCCCACTTTCAGGGTCCACTCTGTCTGCAGAGTACCCTAGGAGATAAGGTGATGTTGAGAGGTCTCCCCTGTTTAGGATATAGTAAGATTGAAACTTTAGGACTGTCTGGCATGTTGTGGGTTCATTCTGGGAAGGTGTCTCCTCAGGACTGCATATACCAATTTTCTAATCTCTTTCTTTCCAGATGCTGTTTAAGAAAAACTTATTTGAAATGGCAATTAACCTGGCCAAGAGCCAGCACCTGGATAGTGATGGATTAGCCCATATCTTCATGCAGTATGGGGACCATCTCTATAGCAAGGGCAACCATGATGGGGCTGTCCAGCAGTATATCAGGTTAGTCTGGAGGTGCTTGAGGATGTAGCTCTTAATGCAGAGACACACAGCCAGAGAGGCTAAAACCTGCGCTTGGGAAAGAGAGTCATCTGTCTTTTTTTTCTGTAGAAACTATGATGGCTTGAGTGAGAAGACAATATACCTTATTGGAAAGGGAATGTTCAGGGTCAAATATTAATGACCAGTGTGCAGTTGAGCTGATGAATACCTGTTTTTTTAAACTATAGTTTGACCCTTGTTACTCATTTTGACCTAATACTTCCACATTTTCTTTCATTAGTATTAATTTCAGGAATTTTAGGCACTTTTCTAGCTTTTTTCCCCCAACTCGCCTAACTCGCTACAATTCCTGTTTTAAGCCAGCTTTAAGAACCAGTTTTCTGGTCCTGGCCAGGTAGGCTAGTTGGTTAGAGTATCATCCAGATATGCCAAGGTTGTGGGTTTTGATCCCTGGTCAGGGCACATACAAGAATCAACCAGTGAATGCATGAATGAGTGGAACAACAAATCGATGTGTCTGTCCATCTAAAAATTAATAAATAAAAATTAAAAAAAAGAAAGAGAACCAGTTCTCTAGAGGCTTGCTACTCATGTGGTCTACAGTCTAGTAGCATCAATATTACCTGAGACTTTGTTACAAGTGCAAGTTCTCAGGCCTCACTCCATACCTGCTGAAACAGAATTGGCATTTTAAGAACTGCAAGTGATTCCTATGCACATGACAGTTTGAAAAGCACACTATTTCAGATGTTTCTTTATGTACATGTCTCTCTAGAACCATCGGAAAGTTGGAGCCATCATATGTGATCCGCAAGTTTCTGGATGCCCAGCGTATCCACAACCTGACCGCCTACCTGCAGACTCTGCATCGGCAGTCCCTGGCCAATGCCGACCACACCACACTCCTGCTCAACTGCTACACCAAGCTCAAGGATAGCTTGAAGCTGGAGGAGTTCATCAAGGTGCGTGCAGGGTGGTGGTGGTGGTGGTGGTGGTGGTGGTGGTGGTGGTGGTGGTGGTAGTGGTGGTAGTGGTAGTAGTGGTAGTGGTGGTAGTGGTGTATTCCTTGAGGCAGCTTCACCAGGGCTTGTCTTTCAGCAGGATGCAGGGAAATAAAAAGCTGACCTTATTTGGGAATCTGGACCCTCTGGTCTATAAACTAGAAAGAAAAATAGCCTTTCCCACTAGTTCTCTCCCATCTCCCCTCTTGTTTTATGATGCCACAACTTCCTGTGGTATCCAAGCCCAGAGAAGTAGCATTTGGGTAGCCCTTTGTCCTCAGAGGAGTCCCTCTAAATAGTAGAAGGAAGGAATAGTAGGAACAGAGGAAGATTTTGGCTCTTAGAAACTTTTGAGAGTCAAGATAACATAATATTTTAAAAGCGTGAACTTTATTATTATCTTAACAATGTGGTTTTAGAATCGACTGCATGTTTTTTCTCCCTTCCCTAACCACAACCTCTCTGAACGATTTTGTCTAATGTTCCCTGGCAGACAAAGAGTGAGAGTGAGGTCCACTTTGATGTGGAGACAGCCATCAGGGTCCTCCGGCAGGCTGGCTACTATTCTCAAGCCCTCTATTTGGCCGAGGACCATGCACATCATGAGTGGTACTTGAAGATCCAGCTAGAGGACATCAAGGTAGAGGAGACTCTTGACTCAGAGTTCTGTTCTTTTTGCAGGACATCCTGGAACAATGACAGTGATTCTTGATGGGTGAGACAGCAGCATGCACTTTTACTCTTCTCTTTACCTCTCTACAGAACTATCAAGAAGCCCTTAGGTACATCGGCAAGCTGCCTTTTGAGCAGGCAGAAAGCAATATGAAACGCTATGGCAAGATCCTCATGCACCATATTCCAGAGCAGATGACCCAGTTGCTGAAGGGACTTTGTACCAACTATCAGCCCAGCCCTGAAGGCCAACATGACAAGGAGGCTCCAGTTTGCAGGGTGAGGCCTCTGGGAAAATGCCCACTTGACACCAGGGATCACCATAGGGACCTCATGGATACCAAGCTCTCTCCCTTGGCCTTTTCTCTCCTCTCTTGCCATCTTAGGCCAACTCAGAGGAGTTTATCCCCATCTTTGCCAACAATCCACGAGAGCTGAAAGCTTTCCTAGAGCACATGAGTGCAGTGCAGCCCAACTCGCCACAGGGCATTTATGACACGCTTCTTGAATTACGACTACAGAACTGGGCCCATGAGAAGGATCCACAGGTGAGGACTGGCAAAAGCTGCAGGAGGTGCTGGAGAAAAGGCAGTTCTTCCATCTTTTAGGGTGTTTTTTTGCTGCCTTCTGTAGACCAATAACACCTCACCTTAGTTGGTGGCTAAATGTCTTCAATGAAGAGGAAATTGGACTGAGGGGAAGATATAGTTGACTTGCCTTGTCCAAAGAGGTCTTGTGATTGTTTTCTTCTTCCATCCAGCAGTTCTACTCTCCTCCTTCCCTAGGTCAAAGAGAAGCTTCATGCAGAGGCTGTCTCCCTTCTGAAGAGTGGCCGCTTCTGTGATGTCTTTGACAAGGCCCTGGTCCTATGCCAGATGCATGACTTCCAGGATGGGGTCCTTTACCTCTATGAGCAGGGGAAGCTGTAAGGGTTTGGGGAATTTCAGGGAAGGGGGAAGGATCCAAGTAATTTTCCAACAGCAGCCACTGAGGTGTGCTTTGCCTTGGCCTTAGGTATCAGCAGATTATGCACTACCACATGCAACATGAGCAGTACCGGCAGGTGATCGCTGTGTGTGAGTGCCATGGGGAGCAGGAACCCTCCCTGTGGGAACAGGCACTCAGCTACTTTGCCCGCAAGGAGGAGGACTGCAAGGAGTATGTGGCAGCTGTGCTCAAGCATATTGAGAACAAAAACCTCATGCCACCCCTTTTAGGTACTTGGAAGGACAGGGTGGGTGGGCAGGTGTTAGCTGCTAAAAATCAGGGGCTCTGGGGTAGGAGCTCTTCCACTTTGTCTAGAGGGCACTGCTTGGTTCATTGTTTTGTTTCCTCTTGGACCCCAATCTCAGTGGTGCAGACCCTGGCCCACAACTCCACAGCCACCCTGTCTGTCATCCGGGACTACCTGGTCCAAAAACTGCAGAAACAGAGCCAGCAGATTGCACAGGATGAGCTCCGGGTACGGCGGTACCGAGAGGAAACCACCCGCATCCGCCAGGAGATTCTGGAGCTCAAGACGAGGTACTTGGCATCTTGTTAAGTGGAGGCATCCAGGGGATAACCTTGTTCTATTACACTGTGTCATTAAATAATTTCAAAAACAAAAGATGGAGTGTGTTTGAGCATTTTCTGCTTGAAGATCTGTTTTAATGGAGAAACACCAAAGAAAGGTTTATTATATAGATCATTATTTATTAGGCTTTGTAGGGTATTATGTAGGACAAGTACTTTTCTTTATGTATATGCCTGCATTTTATATTTTCCAAACACACATCTAAGTTGTATGGCTACAGGACATTCAGAGGTAAAAATTTTGCTATAGAAAATACAAAATGTGGAAAATTTACACATATGTATAGTAAACATTAATGCCTACCCTTAAGTCTTATCTGCCCTTAACATTGTAATGTATTTATTAGAGAACAATAATTTCACAAACATTTACTGAACCCTTGTTATATCCCAGGCACTGTTCTTAACAACACAGAGTCCTGCCTTTATGGAGCTTACATTATAGAGGTAGAGACAGAGAGTAAATGTGTTAAGTAAGTAAAATATAGTATGTTAGATGGTGATAAGTTGTAAGGAGAAAATTAATTGCGGAAGGGGTGTAGGGTGAGGAGTGTGTATGTGAGAGAGAATTTATAAGGTATTCGGGAAAGGCCTCTCTGGAAGAGTCATATCTGAGTGAAAACCTGAAAGACAATTTTATGGCACTTGTGAAAACTGAAATAGAACCATACTCCCCTGGGTTAATAGGACTTTCTGGGAGCATACTGAGACTCATTGTAAGCCCAGCGCTGTTGTCTTCTGACCTTTTTTAGATTGTAAGAAGAGCAGGGCCTTGGATCTCTTCTTAATGACTCCAGCTGCCTTCTTTCTTCACTTGGCTATTGGCCTTGCCCTCACTGTTTGCCACTTCTTTCTGGTCTCCCTTGCCTGTAGGCCAAAGATTTTCCAGAAGACCAAGTGCAGCATCTGTAACAGTGCCTTGGAGTTGCCCTCAGTCCACTTTCTCTGTGGACATTCCTTCCACCAACACTGCTTTGAGAGTTACTCAGAAAGTGATGCTGACTGCCCCACCTGCCTTCCTGAAAACCGGAAGGTCATGGATATGATCCGGATCCAGGAACAGAAACGAGACCTCCATGATCAGTTCCAGCACCAGGTAGGGAAGAGTGGGGTAGATGAGTACCCACTCACAGAGAGTCAGGGGAGCACTGTGGGGCTTTTCTCTTCCCCTCATTTGAGGAAACTAGCACTTCAGTCCTAATTCCTACTTCTCTCTCCCTGCAGCTCAAGTGCTCCAATGACAGCTTCTCTGTGATTGCTGACTACTTTGGTCGGGGTGTTTTCAACAAATTGACTCTGCTGACCGACCCTCCCATAGCCAGGCTGACTGGAAGTCTGGAGTCCGGGCTGCAGCGGGACCTGCTTGTGCATTCCAGGAGGGGCACTTAAGCAGCTCATGGAAGGGGTGTGATGGTGAAGCCACAGCATTAGGAACTTGGGAATCAAGCAGACATGTGCAGGACTCCGCTCTGACTTGATGCCAGTTTTCAGAACTAAAGGAGATATTTTCCCTGCCTTCTCTTTGGCCAGTCCACCACTTCTCCTGTTGACTTTTTGAACAGTGTAGATTTTTCAAGACTAGTCAGGGAGGGCACCTCAGTAACCTCTGAGTATGGTTAATAGCTGCTTTATCCTCTAACCAGGAGTACCACCCTGTGGTTGGGTCCTTGCTCCCAGAGTCTATAAATAAAATGATGATTTTAGGGTTAAATTTACTCTGGGGACCTGCTGATGATTCTAAACTGTAGAGTGTACTCTGCATGCATCCCTAAGAGCTCTACTTCCCTTACAGAGCTCCTTAAAGGTCGTGTTGGTATGTGTATATGTGTATATATATATTCACTCCAGAGAGAGAGAGGCAGGAAGGGGGAAAGAGAGAAACACTGGTGTGAGAGAAACATCATAGTTGGTTGCTTCCCTCACCCCTGATCAGGAACTGAACCCACAACCTAGGTATATGCCCTGAAACCTTGGTTTACAGTATGATGCTCCAACCAACTGAGGCACACTGGCCAGGCAAGATTGATTTGACCTCATTCCAGTAATGGGTGGGACCTATAGCATCTAATAGAGTTCAGTGTAGTGAAGAACCTCTTTAAAAGACCTAATGTCTGAGCTCCAAGAGCATTTTGGCCTGAGGCCCCCAAATAGCTCCTGCTCTTTAGTCAGGTCTATACTATGGCTCTTGGACAAAGCATTTAGGCAGGAGACAGATTCTGATGGGGAGCCTTGAGCCTAAGTCTACTGTCTGCATAATGAGTGGGCTGGTATCTTCCTATATTCAATATCAGATAAAAGGACCTCTATTAAAACATTTTTTTCCCTCTTTCAAGTTGTCTGCTGAAGTTTACGTTGCCGGTGTTTGCATGTAATTTGGGTTTACACTGCCTGTCAGAAATCACTCCTATGGGGTTGTTTAATTGAAGGAAACAACTTAGACATCGTGGTTTAAGGTAGTTAGAAGTGGCTAAGTGACTAAAAATTTGAATCAGCTGACCTGAGTTTGAATCCTAGTTTGACTTAGAAAATACTGTTAATTTCTCTGAACCTTAGTTTCCTTCACTGTACATTAGGAATTATAACACCTTTGTTTTATGGCTACTATGAAGGCCTATGACACGAAGGGGTGTTCGTCCAGTTCTTTGTATTGTGATTGGGTGCTCAATACAGGTGCCTACTGTATTTTTCAGACCATAAGACACACCTAGGTTTTAGAGGAGGAAAATAGGAAAAAATATTTGAAGCAAAAAATGTAAAATATTTAATAACATAATATTTCACCAGTGTAAATGTAAACAACTCAACAGCAGCATTAACAACTATTATTCCTCCCAAATTGGGGGGGGGGGTTGAGTGTGTGTCTTATAGTCCAAAATATATGGTAGTAACAGTGGGTAAAGCACTTTTTCTAACAAGTCCTTTTTCCATATGTTTGGCACTCCCACTTCACAGTTACTTGTATTCAGGCATCATCTATAATCTCTGAACCTCATTTAAAAATAGAAAATTTGCTTCAGGGTCATAGCAGAGCTGTTTGAACAGAGCAAAGGAAGTGCCACTTAAGCTACACTAATTACTTGTGCCACAGCTAAGGAGATAAAGTAAAATTCTGGCTGACTAGCTTTCCAGAGCACTCATTTGTAATTGTTGAATCCAGCCTAGGGGGCTGTAAATTGCTCAAGGATCCTCTACTTCCACTACAGCATTTTGGGGTTAATATGGTCTCCTTTTCTTCTTGGGGCTAACTTTGGCTTAATTGACCATTCATTTGGATGGTAGGAGGAGACTGCGAGGGGAGCAGCTGGGTTAATCTGGGCAGGTATTTTAGCCACTGGTAGCCACCGGCCTTGATTACAGCTGGCTCAGAACAAGGCATAGGCCTGAGTCCCAATCAGGAAGACAGAGAAATTCTGGTCTGGCGTCATTCGGCACAGTAGGGGCGGGAACTGAAAGGTTAGGTTTCCATTGCAACCGTCTTTAATTCCCGCGGGGGGGGGGGGGGGGGGGGGGGGGGAGGTACCACCCCTCTGAGGTCAGACACCGGAAGTGACATGCGGCTGGACCCAGAGCCGGCAGGGTGCCGGAGGAGCTCGGGCCCCTCTAGGTCCTTGTGTCCGCCAAGTGGTACTTCTGCCTTCCCAGAGTCAGGAGCCTTGCGGCAGGACCCTACTTCCCGAACATAGCCATGTCCGGTAACGGCAACGCGGCTGCCAGGGTGGTGAGTCCGGAACTGGTGACTCAGAACTCGGTTTTTCCGGGCTAGTGGTGCATTGATTGGCCCTGGGTTGCCACAATCTGTTGTCTATTGGTCAGAATTCTTATCTGTCTTATCCCGGTCCGAATACCTTTTAAAGGGCCAGTAGTTGAGTTCCCCTTTAGAAGTATTTGTGGAAGAAATCCATGAGCTGTACCAGTGGGGTTAAAGGGGAAGGGCAGTCTCGGAACCCCCATTCCTGCGGGGATCTGGGTGGGATTTCTCCAGGGCTGGCATCCAAGGCTCAAGGTTTAGTGACCCAGCCCAGGAAAGTTCATCTGCAGAAGACAAGGTGCTATTTCCCGAGATCCTTTCACACAAGACAGGGCCGAGATGGGATTTCACCATCTTGGGTTGATGTTCGCATCCAGAGAGGAGAGCATGCCTCCAAGTCTCTGAACTGCACACGAACATCTTGGAAGTGCATTGTCTGCCCCTTTTCCGTTTTAGCAGTCACCCAGGCCCAACCAGCCTACTCTCAAAATCTCCAGGTGAAACACCACTGGGTTACCATCATAGGCGTGGGGAGAACCCTCGGGTCTTCCTACTCTTGGCCTGCTCCGCTGGAGCTCTGGCTTGGTGCAGATGCAAACTACAGAGCGGGTGGAGGCCTCTGCCAGCCTAAGATAAAGAGATTGGGCAGCTGCTTATCTCCCCCTGTCCAGCCTGCTGGTGAGGAGAGCGATTTTTTGACATTGCAGACATCTCTGAGCACTGGACTAGAAGTAAGAATGATCTGGATTCCAACTCCAGTCCTCTGCCCATTACTAGTGGTGTGAGCTTGGACAAGTCACTTCACCCCTCAGAGCCAGCCTGTGTTTCTGTAACATGGTCCCAAAGATGCCTGTCCTGTCTACCTGATAGGTGGTTATGAAGATTAAAAGTGATAGCTCTAGCATATACAGGCTAAATAAATCATTTTTTAATGGAACAATTAGACTTGAATATGCTGTGCAGAAGCAACTAAATGAAGGGATTTGAACCCAGCAGTTTCTAGAGGCCATCTGTGGTCTTCCTGTAGCCCAAAATTTTAGTGGCCATATTTAGCTTTTCAAGCCTTGCCTAATTTATAAACTCAGCCCCCCACCCCAGTTTATTTTTTAGTGATAGCAATGGAATAGACTAGAGTACAAGAGAAACCAGCTGTCACTTTGTCCTCAGATGCCTGCCTGCAAAAGAGCTCCATGGGATGAAGATGCCAGAACAGGGGAAGTTGAAAGTTTGTATAGTGGCTACTATCAGATCTAGAATGAAATAGGCCCTCAGACTGAAGAACCCAGTTCTACCTGCCTAGCACTAAACACCTTTGTCCTGGAAGGAGGCAGAGTTTTTTGAGTTCTTGGTTTGATTTTTGATGTCCCAGTATTTCCTTGTTAGTTAAACCAGAGGCAGTACTCTAGATGAATGCCTCATAGTCTTATAGAACATCAAAAGCAGAAGATATTTGGGTCCAAACTTCTTTATTTTATAGATGAACTAGTAAGTACTCGTGGGATGATGTGCTCAAGGTCATCCAACCAAGAGGCTGAGCAGGACTATATATCAGATCTGTTGACCCCAATCCTTTATGTATCAATTCTACAAGATTAGGGGATTTATAGTGTGGTAGCTCTTGGGCCTAGGTGGCACTGAAGCTTCTTTAAGTGCCCGCTCTTTTGTGGATGCTGAACTTGTCCTCAGTGTCACAGTGTAAGTTCCTCTGTGTGGCCCCAGCCGCCCCTGCCTTCTGCAGGCCCTGCCCTGCCTATGGCCAGGCTGATAGTCCTTATCTCTTTACCCACCTGGCTATGTACAACACTCCCTCTGCCTTTGCTAGGATGGGCTTAAGAGCTCAGTGTCCTGGTTATTGCAGCAATAGAAGATCCTACTATCGTTTTCCTCTGGTCTCTGCTTCTCTGGGTCTGTGAGGAGGGCAGAAGGTACTGAGGAAAGTAAAGGGACCAGTTTTAAGATATTTCCCTACTCCAAGACTCAGGTTGCCATAGGCCAGGGGCTGAGGTTCGTTTCTTCCAAGCCAGTGATTCTGGTTCTTGGACAAGGTCTTAAGAAACACAATAGAGGGGATTGTAACCCAAGGAATTTTTTTTTTTTTTGGCAGGAGGAAAATAGCCCAAACATGAGAGTGATTCGTGTGGGTACCCGCAAGAGCCAGGTGAGTGCAGGTACTAGGTGGAGAAAGTTTGTTGGAAAAGTCTGTGCTCACAGTATTATAAGTTGGGAGGCCCCCTGAGGGTTAGTTCCCAGCAGCTTGGGGATGAAGGAAATGGGGTGACTGTGTGTTGAATTTTATGCAGAATGGCAGGTTGCATTTGTTGAGAGATAGTCCCTAGGCTGGGAAAGTTGTTGGGGTACAGAGGACTCCCAGACCAGACCCCTCTCCTTCTTAGGTGGGCATTCAAATCCCTTTCTGAATTCCAATCCCTTCAGGATTGCCCTGACCCTATGAGTGTCTGAGCTCAGAGCAGTGGCCAGGGAAGGACAGGACTAATCCAAATTTTTGCCCCCAGCTGGCTCGCATACAGACGGACACTGTGGTGGCAACGCTGAAAGCCTTAAACCCAGGCCTGCAGTTTGAAATCAGTGAGTTTTCCATACAGGAATCAAAGCTAATAGGAAACTCTTAACCCCTCTGGAGGGGAGAGCACAATGTTTCTGGCTTTGCTTAGGGCCAAAGACTGGTCCTGTTGCCTCCAAGAATTCTTGGCTATTCCCAGTTTGGAGGGCCCTTTCCTCTTCTACCTGGGCTAGTCTGGCATTGAACATATTCTGCTTTGGGTCTTTTTTTGAGGGTGTCTGCTATTTCTGCTAGATAGTACATTCCCAAAGGGTAGGGACTAGGGCTTATGTGCCTTTGTGTCCACCTTGAATCTTAGCACAGTGCTGGGTTCAGCAGAGGCTCAATAAATTCTGATCGAGTGATTGACTCTCTCCTCAGTTGCTATGTCTACCACAGGTGACAGGATTCTTGATACTGCACTCTCTAAGGTAACATTCCACCCTCCCTCCCCCCACAGTCCTTGTCCTCTTCCTCTTTCTTTCCTCCAAGAGATTTATTCTGATGCTCTTTCTTGCATGGCAGATTGGAGAGAAGAGCCTATTTACCAAGGAGCTGGAATATGCATTAGAGAAGAAAGAGTAAGTGCGACAGGAGAATGTGGGCCCTCCCAGCCTGTTACTAGGACCCAAGCGTGCATTAGACCTGTGTATCAGCTAGGCTGCTGAGTTTAAACCCTTGGATAGGCTCAAGGGGGAGTTAAATGTGTTTTTCAGGAGTCAGAAAAAGAGTGTCCTGGTCCTGAGCCATCTGGTTCCCTGGAGTGAAGATTGATTGGGGGAGGGTAAGAGAGTGGGGGGAAAAGGAACAGGTCTCAGGGTCCTGAGGTCTCAGGGAGGACTGCTTTAAGTTTTGCCACTAAAACAAAGGCGGGGGTAGGTAGATGAGAAGAGATGGAGGCTTGCTGCCTGGAGAACTTCTCTTTGCCCCACTATCCCATCTTTTAGAGTGGATCTCGTCGTTCACTCCCTTAAGGACCTGCCCACTGTGCTTCCTCCGGGCTTCACCATTGGAGCCATCTGCAAGTAAGTATTCTCTGAGTCTGGGCCTGGGCTGGGGGTAGGGGGATAGGCAGAATGTTAATCTTGGCTTTTCCCTTTGGGACTTGGCCCTCTGCCTCTAGGGTTGTCTCCCTTGCCATGAGGAGTATTAAGCATGGCAAAAAAACTCAGAAAATGTCAGTTAGTTGGCTATCAAGAGAAACTGGAAGAGACCTTAACTGAAATTTCTCATTCTACCTTTCTTCCACTCCTAGACGAGAGAACCCCCATGATGCTGTTGTTTTTCACCCAAAATTTGTTGGGAAGACCCTAGAAACCTTGCCAGAAAAGAGGTGAGTGATGTCTAGGTAGGGATCTTGGTGGGAAGTGCATGGAAGATGGAGGGTTGGAAGGAGGAGGAAAGTAAAAGTATCTGACTAGGATTAAATCTCATTTTAAATCCTTTTTCTGAGCAGTGTGGTAGGAACCAGTTCCCTGCGGAGGGCAGCTCAGCTGCAGAGAAAGTTTCCACATCTGGAGTTCAAGAGTATTGTATCCTTTAAGGGAAGGGAGGGGACAGCAGCTAGCAGCCTGCTGCTAGGTGGAAGACAAGGTCCAGAGGGTCCTGAGAATCCTGAAAATGAAAGGGGCTTCGAGAAGAAGTAGACCATAGGGTCAGTGGGCTGTCTGTCTTCCCATCCATCATCCTCTCAATCCTTTCATATTTTCTCAGCTTGGCACTGAGGATAATGCTGAGCAAGATCAGCATTGTCCCTACTCATAGAGTTTATATTTTGGTTTGGGAGACAAACAGGCATTGATAATACAGAGTGATACTCTGGGGGGTAGTGAAGAGGAAGATGGAGGTACTTCTGCTTTTGTTTTATGTTCTATATTGTTTGATTTTTTTACAACAAATATGTAGTATGTTTTCTAAAACTAAAATAGTATGTGCTGAGTGCTCCAATATGTAAAGTAGGGAACCTACTAACTGGAGCATGTACACACAGACTTCGGGGGCAAGGAAGGCTTCTTAGAGATCTTTGTAACCCTGGGCAAGTGTTTTAGCTGTCATTTTCCTCATCTGTAAAATGTAGATAAAATAAAATCTACCTCAGAGCTTCTGTGATAATTAAATAGTACTTTAAAATAGTATCTGGCATGTATTATGAGGTGTTACCTGTCTCCATTAAGCTGAAAAGCAAAAAGATGAGAAGTTAGTCAGCTAGAAAGAGAATGTTCCAGGCAGAGGGAACAATGCTTATGATCCTTAGCATCTCTCAACAGCGAGGAAACCTCAACACACGGCTTCAGAAACTGGATGAGCTGCAGGAGTTCAGTGCCATCATCTTGGCTACAGCTGGCCTGCAGCGCATGGGCTGGCAGAACCGTATAGGGCAGGTAGGGGCTGCCCCTTTTCTCTCCCCAGTTAATCTTTATCCCCTTCCTGCCTATATACTCTTAAAAAAAAAAAAAAAAGATTTATTTTTTGAGAGGGAGAAGGGAGAGAGGGAAACACTGATGTGTGAGAGAAACATCAACAGGTTGCCTCTTGCAAGTGCCCCAGCCAAGGACTAGGCCTGCAACCCAGGCATGTGCCCTGACCATGAATCAAGGACAATATCAAGTGGGGTGAAACTCAACCTAGCAACGCCAGTCAGGGCCTGCCTATATACTGTATTTTGCTGTATATAATGTGCATCCATGTTTTGTGCCCATTATAGATGGGATTATTTTACCCCGTGGCATGCAATTGTTATACCATGTATAATACACATCCTTCTTTTTCCCTCAAAATTTTGGGCAAAAAAAGTACACATTATACACGGCAAAATATGGTACTTTTTTTGAACACCCCACCCCCAACACTGCAAAGCTGGAAGAGTCCCAGGTGGGAAGATTGGTGATCAAAGGCCAGACTCCCTCTTTTGCCTTTCCAGGCTTTCTACATGATAGGGAGCCCCATCTCACTGCTTCTGCCTGTTGTGCCTCCACAGATTCTGCGTCCTGAGGAATGCATGTATGCTGTGGGTCAGGTATGCTTGACCAAGGAAGCCATGTATTGATAAGTCCAAGAAGCAGAACCTTCTGGGCATCTGCTTCCCCTAGCATAAATGTTCCTAGGGAGGGACAAGTCTTGGAAATCTACTGTACCAAAAGGCCTTGGGGAGCAGGTAGAAGTGGGCTGGTCCCCATCCTTAGCTTCGTTAGTTGGGGAAAAAATTGGGCCTGATGTCTTAGCCTGTTCTTCCATCAGGGGGCTCTGGGTGTGGAAGTCCGAGCCAAGGATCAGGACATCTTGGATCTGGTGGGTATGTTGCACGACCCTGAGACTCTGCTTTGCTGCATCGCTGAACGGGCCTTCCTGAAGCATCTGGTACGGCCTGTGTTCCACCTGTGGAGGGGTTGGGAGTTGAAAGAGTAGTGGGAAGATTTCTCAAGTTAATACTCTATATTTAGTGTTAACTCATTCTTGAATGTTGTATATGAAGAAGACCTAGGTCTGAGCCCCTAGCCCAGATATGTCCTCACAGACCTATGGATCTTCGAGGACTCTGGTCACAGGGTAGTTAAGGGTCTTTGGAGCTCACAGAGAGAACTTCTTACTGCAGGAAGGAGGCTGCAGCGTACCAGTAGCAGTGCATACAGCTATAAAGGATGGACAGGTAAGCAGGGAAGATTGGTGGAAGGGTAGGGAAAGGAGGACTGTGGTAACCACCCTGTGCATCCTGAGTTGCCAGCAAGAAAAGCCCAAATTTTTAAAGTTTCCTCCCAGAATATGCTGAGGTAACTTATTTTTTCCCCAGCTGTACCTGACTGGAGGAGTCTGGAGTCTGGATGGCTCAGATAGCGTGCAAGAGACCATGCAGGCCACCATCCATATCCCTGCCCAGGTGCCAAGACGAGGGTGAGGGGAAGGGTAAGAAATAAGTCTGCCTCACCTCCCCTTTTGTACTCACCAAATCTTATTTTCTTCCCTCACCCAGCATGAAGATGGCCCTGAAGATGACCCACAGCTGGTGAGCATCACTGCCCAGAACATTCCACGAGTAGCCCAGCTGGCTGCTGAGAACCTGGGCATCGGCCTAGCAAACTTGCTGCTAAACAAAGGAGCCAAGAACATTTTAGACATCGCACGGCAACTTAATGATGCCCACTAACTGGTCTCTGGGGCACAGGTGCCTGGGTTGCTACTGTCTTATTGCCTTCACCCCAACCCTCAGTGTCTGTGCAGTGATGACCCCAGGGGATTTAACTGCTGGGTCAGACTACCGGGGACTGCCTTGCCTGCTCAGTATGTTGGGGGCTTCAACTCTTTACAGAGTCCAAGTCTTTGAATGTAACCAACTCTACTAATAAAAATCCTATCGTTTGCTTTCCCCAGTTAACCAGTCTTATATCTGATAGTTCCCCCACTACACTTACCCTTAGAAGAACAATCTAAAAGTCATCAATCCTTTAACACTTTGGAACAAAACAAAAACAACACATTTTAAAAAATCCTTTAATAAACAAAATTAGTCCATCTGAAACTCCCCAATACTTATGGTACTACTCTTGAATGGGTTAGATGCTAAATGCCACTTCAGAAGCCCACGGAGACTGGGTCCAGATGGGGTCACCGGATTGTGCTGGTATACTTCTAGGTGCTGAGCGGTGCGCCTGGAGGGGGGAGGCCTCGCTGCCAGTCAGCTGCAGGTGTGCGCACAAGCCCTGCAGTTCACACAGTCGCCGCCCACCTCCCCAGTCCTCACCCCAGGCGGCGCCCACCTCTGGGGAAAGGCGGGCACATTCCAGTATCTGTCTTGGCCGCACCACTCAGGTATACAATTAAGACGGAGGCGGCAAAGGGGACGCCCGAACAAATTTAAGGATCAAAGTGTCCTCCACCAAAGCCTGGAAGTCATCAGCCATGTCGGAGGTCGCGACCTAAGCACCGAGCTGAAGAAGAATCTGAGGGAGTTCTGCTGGCGACTCACCTTCCGGGTCGCCGCTCACCTCAGCCTACCAGAGCAGCAGGCCTGGCCTTCCAAAAGGTGCCGCAGCCCATCAGCCACTCAAAAGGCAGGATGGCTGAGTCACAGCTTTGGAGAGGACTACTGCCGAGCAGCGTTCAACGGTTGCTCTGCGGCGGAAAAAGGGAGCGGGACCCGCGAACCTGCGCGGGGCCGGGGGGGGGGGGGGGGGGGGGGCGGCTGGTGGTGGCAGGGGACTGCAGCCGGCCGCCGTGGCTCAGCTCTTTCCGTGAGGGCTGTGGTGGCCCTTAAAAGGGCCTTTGTGGTAGCACAGACTGAGTCGGGCTCCGGGGGGGTGGGGCAGCGCAGGCGCCGCTCAGTACTCCTGAGAGGCCTGGGTGGCCTTCTTGCCTCCCGCCGGCGCTTTCGGTCCTACGGTAGCACTGGTTTTCTTGGGCAACAGCACAGCCTGGATGTTAGGTAGGACGCCTCCTTGGGCAATCGTTACGCCACCCAGTAGCTTGTTGAGCTCCTCGTCGTTGCGGATGGCCAACTGCAGGTGACGGGGGATGATGCGCGTCTTCTTGTTGTCGCGGGCCGCATTGCCCGCCAGCTCCAGGATCTCTGCGGTGAGGTACTCGAGCACCGCTGCCAGATACACAGGGGCGCCGGCGCCCACCCTCTCGGCGTAATGGCCCTTTCGCAGCAACCGATGAACACGGCCCACAGGGAATTGAAGGCCTGCGCGCGACGAGCGTGACTTGGCTTTAGCACGGGCCTTGCCTCCCGTCTTGCCGCGACCAGACATACTGCGCTAGTTGAAGGAGTGCGCCCAGCAGCTCGCTGCAGTCCAACTGCTGCCGCGAACACGTAAGGGCTGTCCTTATAAGCCCCCAGGGCACACCTCCCTACCCTCCGGATTGGTTCTTTTCTCTAAAGATGCTTCTGGTTGGTTGTGGTTAACCTTTCGGTGACGTATTGCTGCTGAGAGAGCGGGACAGCCGATTGGCGGAATTTGAAAACCTTTTGGGGGGGCGGGAAATGCCGAGGAGAGGCGGGTTACTAACAGCCCTCATCTAGCCAATCCGTGAGAAGCGCGCGAGATTTAAACACTACAGCCCAAACCAGAGGACAAAGACTGTGGAGTCTGAAGCTTTAGGAAATGTGTGGGGCCTGGGATTTGTAAAGGAAAAGGCTTAGTACTACAACCACCTCTGCCTTCCCTTCCAGGTCTTGTCACTCCCTCCTCCTTATCCTGCAAAGTGAAAAAGGAAAGAAATGAGAGCTCCTGAAAGTTTTGATCCCATATCAGAGAAAACGCCAATCTTAGGGCCTTTCATGCCACTTTATCAGGAATTCGGTATTTATTAAACATCTTGTCTAGTTTCAGTTGGTTCTCACATCTTGTTAGAAGAGGCCTGGTGTACTGAGGGGTGAAAAAAAAATGCCAGAGCAGAGAGAAAGGCATCTTCGTGGAGGAAGTACTTCCACTAAACCCTCCCAATCTACCCTAAAACACCATATAGGAAACACAACTACAGGAACAAGAAAAAGACAACACTTTATTGTTACCACTGGGAGCACCTGTGCTCCCCAACACCCCACCTGCTTTTACTAATTAGAATACTTAATTTATAGTCTAATGTGAAGTTATCCTCAAGCCTGTGTCACCATCACCACCCAGGGTTCTATTCCCAGGTCCAACATATTTCTTGAAAGTCAATGCAGTTTTCCAACTTAGGGAGCTGCAAAGATGGGATGGATAGGGAGAGTGGCAAGTTGAAGAAAACTACAGGTAAAATCCAATCAATAGTCACTGGAGGGCAAGAAAGGGCCAGTATGTCAATAATCACAGGGGAAAGGAAATGTTAAGAAGAATGAGGTGTGTGAGGGGCCCGGGCTGAGAGGCAATCTTGTTCTTGAATGAGGATGGCTTGAGTCAGGAATCCTGGAAATGTGAAATAAGAGCAACGACCAGGGACTCAGACATCATAGAAGAGTCGGACAAGCTGGTACCGAATGAAGAAGGTAACAGCACTGCCCAGGATCTGCAAGGTAAAATGGACTAGAGTAAGAACCATGGAGAAAGGGAGACAAGAAGGTGTAAATGCCATTCCCATCTGTACCTGTAGCAGCAGGAGGAGCAGTGTGAGGTTTCTCTCATGCATGGGCCCAAAGACTTTAAGTACCAAGTTGATGAGGGTCATGTTGTTACACTCGGTGAAGGCACCATCCTCATTCTCACTCTGGCGCACTGTCACTAGCTGGAGACTCTCTGCTATCTGGAAGGGCCAGAGGTGGAGAGAACTTCAGCTGATACCTATGCTTTTTTTAATGAAGATCTATGTGATGCTTCCAAACTCCCCTTGGATCTAATGCAGCCTAGGTTCCCCATTCCCAGAGTTCAGGATTGTGACCTGTAAAGCCTTACCTCCTTTTTCCCCTGTTACCTTTAGAATAAAGGTGCCCAAGAAAGAGAGGCTCTTTGTCTTGAACTTGGAATAACTCATCTCCAGTTTGCCTGTGTCGGTATTAAGTCTGCAGAAGGAAGAAAGCTCTATGTAACTGGGCCACTACTTAAAGAACTATCCTCAGTGTTGTTATGTAACAGAAGAGCACTGAATGTGGAGTCAAACAACTTGAGATATATTTCTGGCTCTGCTGCTTACTACTGTGATCAGAGCTGCTGTGAACAGTAAATGAGATTATGTAAGTAAATGTGCTCTGTAATTTGTAAAATGTTAACCACATGGTAACAGTCAGCCCTTCTTTGGGCCCACTCACTTTGCACAGCAAATGTGTAAGGCTGGCTTTATGCATTACAGTGAAAAAGCTATGATGCCCCTTAAAAGCCCCCAAACAGCTACCTGGGCACACGGTGGCGAGGGCAGGGGATGATGTGCAGGAGCTGAGGCAGTGAGTAGAGAAAGTTGAACACCTGGGGCATGAAGAAGAGTAGCATGGTCTTGCTGAAGTGTCCCAAAATGCCCACCACGGCAAAGGTCATGCCAGCAAAGTAACAGAAGGTATCTCCCACAAACACCTGTGATGGGTACCTGTGTCGGGGAGAGGATCCAAGCTAGTGGCAACAGGCATTACCAATCTTTTCTGTCATATCACACATCTTGGGCACAGAGCTAGCCCTGACCCTAGTCCTAACTCAGAGACTCCATGCAGCTCTCCCAGAAACTCACCAGGACCCAAGGCCCTGAATTCATCTATTCCTGGGGCTCCACAGCATTTGTCCCCAGCCACTGCTGGGTAGAAAGCAATTTAACAGGGAAGGAGGGTATAAGGGGCCTAAATGATAATGGGAATAAAAATACAATAAAGACTAAAATTTTTTAAAAAGCAACTTTAGAATACTATCCATTGAAGACCCAGAAAACACTCAACAGGTATGCACAGGCCTAGCCTCTGCATCAGGAAATGGGTTGTGATCAGGACCATACTTGCCACATGTTCAAAAACCTGTCCCCCTATCCATACACCTACTTACCAGTTATGATAGAGCAATCCCAAGGTGGTGAAAAAAAAGGGTATCATGAAGTAGAGGGAAAAAACATGATCATCTCGACAATCACCTTTGGAAGCAGGGGAAAAAGAAAGAAGTAACAATTGACAGCCACTTCCCCTACATACCCTGTTTCTGTCTCTAAGTTATATCCCAAGCTTTTATTGTCCACCATGCCCAAGTTACATTCAAGAACTCACTACCCCTTTTATGTCACTCAGGCAATTCTCCACATTCCACTTCTTTCATAACCCTTCCTAAATTAGTTATTTGTCTTAAATTGGTTTAGACCTTTCAGACCTCACTTTGAATTATGAGCTTTACTTCAGAACTGTGTAACCTTATCATGACACATTTAACCTCTCTAAAGCCTCCTTTTCCTCATCTGTAAAGTATAGTTAATAACACCTGCCACACAGAGCTGTTACAAAGTTTAAATGAGATGCTTTAAAAGTGCTTAGCTTTAAAATTATTGATGTCTATTAGCTAAAGACCCCAGAAACACACCTGTTATCAAAGCTCAATTCACTGACTTGTGACAAGGGAGACTTTTAAAAACCACATACCATGGGAACCATGGGATTCCTTGGTAAGGGGGTACTAGGAGGATTTGTTATAGGATTTGTTTTAGGTAGTTCTGAGGAGGTCCTGACTCGTGTGGCTCAATGGGTTGTGCCTTGTCCTACAAACCAAAAGGTTGCTCATTTGGTTCCCATTGGGCACAAGCCTGGTTTGCAGGCCAGGTCCCAGGTTGGGGGCTTGAGAGAGGCAACTGATCATTTTTTCTCTCACACATCGAAATAGACCTTTGCCCTCTCTCTAAAAATAAATAAATAAAAATATTTTTTTTAAATGCAATTCTGAAGAGCATAAAAGGAGGCAGTTTTGCCCTGGTATGGGTGCTGTCAACAGGAGTGATTCTATGAGCATCTTAATTTTCATCTAAGTAGGAGGAACTGATTTAGAAGAAGCAATCACTCATGTTAGCCAGAAGAGAGGGATCTTGGTCATTTTGTGGAATTCAGAGTGTTCTTGTGGTTTTTGTTCATGCTCAGGCTTAGTAACAGAAGGGTCTGGTTTATGTCTTTATCGTGGTGACGGAGTGATTTGGGGATTCTGTAAAATTATTTATGTTCAATAAGACCATGGGCTACTTATTAGAGTTGATCTAACTATAAGGGACAGGACTGCTCTTTTTCTTACATTTAATAAATCCTAGTTGTTATTTGCAAAGTAAATTCTTTCCTTATTGTCTATAATTATTAACATACTGCTTTTTTTTTTTTTTTCAGATTCCCCAAAACTAGATATCAGGCAACTCCCTTAACACTCAGACTTCTCTCTCTGTACCCCCAATCCCACTTACCTTCCAGCTCCACCAGGTTGAAGATGATGATGGAAGCAGAAATGACCAGTGACTGGCCAGCCTCTAGGCCATTAATTCCTGCTAGGATATTGATGGCATTGGTACAGAACACTGCCAACAGCCCCATGTAGACATAGTACAGGATCCCTGGTGGTGGTGGGAGGACAGTAAGAAATAGTACCATGTATAGAATGAGGATTTAAGGATATTCTTCTGAAAAAAAGTGGTGGGGACAAAGGATAGAATGAAGGACCAACAGAGAGGATCTGAGATGAACAACAATTAAAATTAAAAAAAAAAAAAAAAAAAAAGGATCTGAGAAAACACAGAGACAAATCAGGAACACTTGGAGAATGTGGAGCACCAGGAAGGATCTTATGGGATAAGGGTGCCCTGAAGTAGGGAACATAGGGGTAGTAATAGTGGGGTTACTCACCCAAGTCCAAATGCAGGCCTAGAATCGGTCGAAAGGGCTTGGGTACCACAATGGTTGTGTTGCCAAAGTTGGTGAAATAGACCATGAGGAGAGGTAGTGAGGCAGCTGTGGGCAGCAGCAGCTTATGGCGCCATTGCAGATTCAGAACATCATCCGCGAAGCCCAGGAAAATCATGCAGCAGATGGCAAGAAGCGCACCTATCAGGGCCACAAACTGGGGGAGGCTCGGGCAAGTCACCGCTCAACCCGATTCCCACTTCGCCATTGCTTTCAAGAATTCCTCCCAACTCTCCGGTAGCTCCCAGCCCCAACCAGACAACCACTCCCACTAAGCCACTTACTTCATGGTGGGGGAAAGCTTTACATTGCTCCTCCACAAAGCAGTTCAGGAAAGGGAAAGGGATGAAACAGAAGAGAATGATAAGGAAAACAGCACCGCTGATCACTCCCTGAGACTCTGGGCTGTGTCCCAGCAGCAAGGAGGTGTGGAGGGGAGAAGAGGAAAGGGGGCATGGTCACTCACTAGTGCAAGCTTCACAGTAACCTAATTGGGGGTGGGGAGCACTCACCCCTGCTGGAGTCCCTGCTACACCCGGGAGCTCGCCCTTTCCCCTCACTAACCATCCCTTTAAATTTCTGTCCTTCACCTCCCGGTGGGGGTGGGAGTGTCTGTTGGGTTAGCGCTGCATCTCCGCACGCGGTCAAACATCCCAGTCCCAGCCCCTGCTTTACCCACCCCTGCCACAGCCCTTGTCCTCTGCCCTGGACCCTGTGCCGCCGCTCACATCTGCTTCTGGCCGGATTTGTTGAGGTCCTGGCCACAGAGGCGGGCGGCGATGAAGTGGCCACGGAAGGCTGGGATGAGGGTGATTGTGGCCACAAACCCTAGCAGCGAGCCGATCAAATTCACCAGCAACGGCGTTGGCAACTCCCGGAAGGCCCTCATGGTGAAGGACCAGGGAGGCCCGCTCCGCTGCCTCCTCAGCTAATGTTCAAGCAGGGAAGAACCCTGAGCCCTCAGCACTGAGGAAAGGAGGCTCTCCACAGGCTGGTGTTCCCACACCAGCCTGAGGAAAACTCAACAATTCTGATGAGTGTCCTTCGCCACTCCCGCGAGCCTCCTTACAGCAACCTAAGCTCCGCCCCATTGTATTTACTTGCCCACGGTTTCCTCCCGGATCTTGTTCGCAGAGCAACTATCATTGCTGAAGACGGAGGTGGCCATTTTTAATATGGGCAGGAGAGTGGGGATAGAATTATCTTAAACTACATCCTTTATTCAAGAACTGAGTCATCACGTGGGCACTGGAAAAGCAATTAAAGGCAAAAGCGATCCTTCCCTATCATATTAAGGATGTACAAACTAAAGCGGAAAAGCTCTTGCCCGGTTCCAAGATGAACGCCTCTTGACTACGTGTCCGACTCCACCTACTCTTAGTTTCACGTCAGTTTTAGTTCCTTTGACCTCCGCAGGTCAAGTTTAAAGGGCCAGTAACCCGAGTTTACTATGGGATACCTCTGGAGTAGGGGAGAGGGCTACTGGAAGCAAGAGGAAAAGGCAGGAGGGAAGGGGATGTAGAGCAGCACTTGCTCCTTGTAGAAAACTTGTACCCACTGTAGTCGGAAGCCAAGGTAAACACAAATAAGTTCCCGGAAATGCAGCTACAGTTTGGAAGATAATGTAATTTCTACAGGGTAGACTTAAAAAGCCCCTCCTACTGCGTGCTTTTCTTTCTTGAAAAAAAAAAAAATTTCCGGTATTTATTATATAGTAAGCCTATAAAATGATCTTGTAATTTTTTTTTTAAAAATTTTTAGAGAGAGGGAAAGGGAGGTAGAATGAGAGGGAAAGGGAGGTAGAATGAGAGGGAGAGAAACATGGATGTGAAAGACATACATCAATCACTTCACCTCCCACCTCTGCAACTGGGGACCTGGCCCGCAACCCAGGCATATTTCCTGACTAGGAATCAAACCCGCAACCTTTCAGTTTGTAGGCCAGCCCTCAATCAACCGCACCTTCCCGCCAGGGTCTCCCTGCTTTTCTTGTCCTTGGTCTTAATACTTTATCTTAAGCATCCCATCCACCCTGTGACTTTTACAGTGGCACTTAGTTGCTGGGCAACTACCACTTACCACCAAAGAGGGTGGGAGTGTCCTGAAGTTTTGGATTTAACCCGTTACTTTACTTTCCTTGGTCCTGGAGCACCGCATTGCGCCCAGCTACCAAACCCAGAAGATGAGGCTGAGGCGCTGAAAAGGGCTAAGGAAGCAGGAGAACTAGACCCATACCTGGCTGCCTGTGAGCCTGAGGAACTCCCAGTCCAGTTTCTTCCTTCAGATCACCGTGTCTTTTTCTTGGCACCTGCTTCCTTGCAAATAACCATTCACCAACATCTTCATTCTTTTCCTCTCACCCACAGGCTCTTAGATGACAAATGTATTCTATTCCTGGGAGGGAAAGCACGCTCGGGGAGTTTGGAAGACTCAAGTGCCCTGGCACTTTGTTCACTCCTGGGAATATGACTAGTTCAAGGAGGAAGGGTCAGGTTGACTTTTTTTTGAGTAAAGATACTCCGTCATCACCCCACCCCAACCTTCTCTCAAAACTAGTATGGAATATCTCTTCTACTTGCAGGAGGCTCTAATTAACAATGAAAAACCATATATATAGACTCAAAAAGTCCATGAGAAAGCTTTGGATAGTGTGGGGGTTATGACACTTGCAGGACCAGATCTATGGCTCTTTCTGGGCAGCTGGGAGACTCTTTTTGCTATTTTAAAAATATATTTTATTGACTATGCTATACAGTTGTCCCATTTTTCTCTCCCCTTTGTTCTCTTCCACCCTGCACCACCCCTCCCACCAGCATTCCAACCCCTTTAGTTCATATCCATGGGTCGTACATATAAGATCTTTGTCTTCTCCATTTCCCATACTATTCATAACTTCTCCCTGTCTATTCTGTACCTACCATTTATGCTTCTTACTCCCTGCACCTTTTCCTCCATTCTCCCCCTCTCCCTCCCTACTGATAACCTTCCATGTGATTTCCATTTTTGTAATTCTGTTCCTGTTCTCCTTGTTTGCTTAGTTTGTTTTAGATTTAGTCGTTGATAGTTGTGCGTTTGTTGTCATTTTACTGTTCATATTTTTTTATCATATTCTTTTTCTAGGAGAAGTCCCTTGAACATTTTATATAGTAAGGGCTTGGTGATGATGAACTTTAACTTGACCTTATCTGGGAAGCCCTTTGTCTGACCTTCCATTCTAAATGACAGCTTTGCTGGATAGAGTAATCTGGGATGTAGGTCCTTGCTTGTCATGACTTTGAATACTCTCCAGCCCCTTCTTGCATGCAAGGTTTCTTTGGAGAATTCAGCTGACAGTCTTATGGGCACTCCTTTGGAGTTAACTGTGTCCTTTTTCTTGCTGCTTTTGAGATTCTCTCCTTATCTTTACTCTTGGGTAATGTAATTATGATGTGGGTTGGTGTGTGCTTCCTTGGGTCCAACTTCTTTGGGACTCTCTGAGCTTCCTGGACTTCCTGGAAGTCTATTTCCTTTGCCAGATGGGGGAAGTTCTCCTTCATTACTTTTTCAAATAATTCTTTAAATCTTGCTCTTCCTCTTCTCCTCTGACACCCCTATAACTGGGATGCTGGAATATTTAAAGTTGTCCAGGAGGTTCCTAAGCTTCTCCTCATTTTTTTGGAATTTTTGTTTCTTCCTTCTGTTCTGGTCGAATGTTTATTTCTTCCTTCTGGTCCAAATCATTGATTTGAGTCCTGGTTTCCTTCCTGTCACTGTTGGTTCACTGTACATTTTCCTTTACTTCACTTAGCATAGCCTTCACTTCTTCCTCTATTTTGTGAACATACTCAACCATTTCTGTGAGCATCCTGATTACCAGTGTTTTGAACTCTGCATCTGGTAAGTTAGCTATCTCTTCATGGCTTAATTCTTTTTTTGGAGCTTTGATCTGTTCTTTCATTTGGGCCATATTTCTTTGTCTAGGTGTGCCTGTTAAGTAATAAGGGATGGAGCTTTGGGTATTCCCCAATGTGGGGCAACCCACATAGCTGGTTTGTGGCTCTGTTTGGGGGGAGGGGTTTACGAGGGAGCAATGCCACTTGCTCAACTCCCAGCTGGTTTTCAGTCACTTCCCCAGCTACCCACAAGCAAAATTGGGCCCTTCTAGTGCTGCTTCCAAGGTAGGTGGGTTGTGTATGTTCTAGGACCTGTGGGTCTCTCCAACAAACTCTCCTGTGAGGCTGGGAATTTATCCTGCCCCCTCAACCCTCACAGGTTTTTACCAGCAGAGGTTTTGAGGCTTTACTTCCCTGAGCTTGAACCCAGGGTTGTGCTGTCTGTCTTGCTCACCAGTCATTCTTCCCAGTTTATCCACATGCAAATGTGGGACCACTTGGTCCACCAGCCACCCCCTCACCCACCCTGGTCCTCCAGCTGCCACCTTGCCACACTTTCTCTCCGCCTGGTCTGCCTGTTTCCACCCCTCCTACCAGTCTGAATGAATGTTTCTTCTTTAACTCCTTGGTTGTCGGACTTCCATACAATTCAGTTTTCTAGCAGTTCTGGTTATTTTTGTTTTTAAATTTGTTATTGTTTTTCTTTTCATTGTGCGAGGAGGCAAAGTGTTGGCCAGAAGTCCTTTTTTGGCCAAAGTGTTGGCCAGAAGTCCTCCATCTTGGCCAGAAGTCCTTTTTTCCTACCTCCCCTATATCAGTTTTTCAAAACAGCTAAAATCAAGCCCTAGATTTCTCATTCCACTGGGATGATATGAATGAATTTTCAAACTATGGAAACAATATAGAAAATTTCAGTTTTATATGTATACTGGAATATTTTCTATTAGATTTCAAAAAATTATAAATAATTTGCTAATTCCTACAATGTCAGTGGGAAACTCTTAAGTACTGTGGGGATACAAAGTGATGTCAATGCAGTTGTTTCCCTCAAGGAGTCTATTTCGGCCTATTAAATCACCTTGGTTGAATATGAGGGAAGAGAGATGAGTAACACAGTTCCCCACTTTTAAGCAGCTTCCTGGTGAGTGAGAAAAGCATACATATAGACAACCAGCTAAACCATAAGGCAGAATGAAATAAGTGCTACAGGCCTAAATAACAAATGAAAGGAAGAATGGGAGAACTAATGAGGGAGACTCATGGAAGACTGAATTGTGAAGCAGTATATTGTGGTGGCAGAGGAGCAAGTGCTCAGTGGAGGAGTTGAAATAAATCCAAGATCTCAGAGAACTGAGACCACCGGAGGTCAGAGCTTCCTGAAGAAGAGTTCTTGGGAGAAGAGGGTCTTCATAGTGAAACTTTGCACCTGGATAACTTCCTGTGGAACCTGCTCCCCTATCCCTAACTGCTCTGCCCACTGATTGCTCCCTCCTGCATCCCTAGGTTCTGGCCTTGAATTCTCTCCTCCCTTCATTTCATGTCTTCTCCTTCCCTTAAGATTAGAAACCCACACTCTAGGATTCTTCCATTGTTTTGGAGTCCAGTAATGATGCTTGAGCAGGGTCATAACAAATTTACCTCTCACCCCCATCATTTCTTACAGTGAAATCCAGGGATGCTCCAGGCTCAGGCACCTTGTTGCTGACCTGCCAGGTTCTGCCTAGCTCTGTAACTCTCCACTTTAAGGGGCATTACTCCCTGGCTGGTGTGGCTCAGTGGATTAAGTACTGACTTGCAAACTAAAGGATCACTGGTTCAATTCCCAGTCAAAGCACATGCCTGGGTTGCAGGCTAGGTCCCCAGTGGGGGGCACATGAGAGGCAACCACACATTGATGTTTTTCTCCCTTTCTCTTTTGCTTCCTCCCTCTCTAAAAATAAATAAATAAAAATTCTTAAAATTAAAAAAAATTCTTGCAATATGTATGAGGAGAAGAAGAATCACTTGGGGAATGGTGAGTCCTTTGACTCCTTTTGTAGGATATTCTTTCCCCTGCCTCCAGAAAGTAATGACAAGCCTCTAGGCTATATGGATGGAATCCACTCTCTCTTTTCTTAAATATTGTATTTATTTATGTTTAGAGAAAAGAAAGAGAGGGAGAGAAGCATCGATATGCAAGAGAAACATCTATCAGCTGCCTCCTGCACACCTCCAGCCAGGAACCTGGCCCACAACCCAGGCATGTACCCTGACTGGGAATCGAAATAGTGACCTTTTGGTTTCAGGATGACATCCAACCCACTGAGCTACTCCAGTCAGGGCTGGAATCCACTCTCTTAAATCTAGGAAAAGGTGTACCTATAAAACCAATTTTGGGGTGCTTTTGGAATATTAGATATTTGGATGGCAGATCCTCTAGCTAAACTTATTGATAGTTCAGCGCTACATTATTACCAGTCTCTATACACATGCTCCATAGGCAGGAACTGTTACTATGGAAATTTATTATTATGATTATGATTTTTAAAAATTTTATTTATATATTTTTAAAGAGAGGGGAATGAAGGGACAAAGAGGGAGAGAAATAAGAAACATTGATGTGAAAGAGAGACATTGATCAGCTGCCTCTTTTACATGCCCCCAACTGGAGACCAAACCCACAACCCAAGCATATGCTCTGACCAAGAATTGAACCAATGGCCTTTCACTTTGCTGGAAGACAACCAACCAACAGAGCCACACTAGTCATGGCAGAAATATATATATACATATATATGTGTATATGTATATACATATATACATGTATATATACATATATATGTGTATACATGTATATATACATATATATACATATATATGTATATTTTAAAGCAGCCCCACCCTGGCTAGGTAACTCAGTTAGAACATTGTCCAGATATGCCAAAATTATGGGTTTGATCCCCAGTCAGGCACATACAAGAAGCAACCAATAAATGCATAAATAAGTAGAACAGCAAAACCAATGTTTGCCTCTCTCTCTTTTCTCTCTCTCTCAAATCAGTTTTACAAAATTTCCTCATACTTCAAACAACAACAAAAACCAAGCAAGACCCGGCTTGGAAATATCCCCAGAACAAGCTCTCACCAGCAAGGAAGTTAATAGAGTGTTCCTGTGGCCTAGCTCCAAGGGGAGCTAGGGGAAGAGGGATAGAGGTGGCAGCAGGGGAAGAATATTCTATGTTCTATTCTCAACCTCTACGAGGTTCAGGTTCTGCCTTCTGGTCGGTATCAGCTGGACCTCTTCCAGGCACATCTGTCCAGGAGGGTGGTCTGCACCTGCATAACCAGGGCCTAACTTGGGCCAGGAAATAGCAACCAAGAAGCTGCTGGGCTTGGGGGTGTTGGGAGAAGGAGCAATGCAATCTACAGGAGTCACCTTCTTAACCCACAGGCTTTCAAACTACAGAAATCTAAGAAGCATAGGGGAAAGCCGAGGCGGCATCTCAGGTAAGTGAAAGTTTACTCTTGGGGTGAACTCAGAGAACGGGGAGTACCCCCGTTCCAGGATGAGGCGAGGTGGTCAAGGATCCCGCCTATTTTCAACGCGGGAACCACCCTCGCTCCCGCCTCATCCTCTCGCTCGGGTCCAAAGCTTTAGCTGGGGCCTTTCCAAGCCCCACCCCGCGCGGGTGCGGCCCCTTTAAGGGCGGGTGGGGGCGGGGCGCCGGTCGTGTTGTCAGTGTCAGCTCTGCGCACGCAGCCCTCCTGTAGCGGGTGCTGGTCTGGAGCCCCCAGGTTTCTGCAGACGACTCAACGCCGTGGTCCAGCTGGATCCGCACCGTGGGTTGAAGGAGTCTGGCGCGGGCCAGCGACTAACCCGAGTCGGACTGTTGGACCGAGGAGCGACCTGACCACGGAAGGAAGGACCCCGGCGTCGCGACCCCCAGGACCACCTCTTACTGGTCTGTGGCAACCACCAGTCCCGGGTACCTTAGTCGCGGAGAGCTCCGGGGGAGCCTTCCCCGCCCCACGGCCCGCCTGGGCCATGCTCCCCCGGGGCAGCGGCTAAGCCCGAACTGGGACTGGGACTGAGACCCGAGCCCGCGCGGAGCATGGATCCGGGCTGGGGCCAGCGGGATTTGGGCTGGACGGCTCTGCTGATCCTTTTCGCTGCCTCGCTGCTCACGGTATTCGGCTGGCTGCTGCAGTATACCCGGGGCTTGTGTCTGGTGCGGGCCCTCGGGGCCCGGAGCCCGGGACTCGCTTTAGCTGCGGAACCCGTGGGCTCCCTGCGGAAGCTGGGCGTGTGGCACTCGCTGCTAAGGCTGCGGGCCCTTCGGGCCGACGTCCCAGAGGAGCCAGGTGTCCGGGGCCTCCTGGCGTCACTTTTCGCCTTCAAGTCTTTCCGGGAGAAGTGGCAGCGGGCTTGGGTTCGAGCGCTCAACGAGCAGGCCTGCAGGGACGGGGTGAGTTGGACAGGGACACCTAGATGGTCCCCTCGCCCAGCCTTTCCTTCCAGGGGAGGGACTGCTCGCTCATACCAGGAGGTCCAGATGGGGGTGGGGATCAACTGGGGAACCTCATGGCTACTCTTCCTTCCTGGGATTAGAGAGAAGGGTGAAGGTGAGGCTGGAGGTGGTAGAAATCCAGCCGCGTCCCAAATTCTCTATTCTTGTGGTCAAGATACTCCTGTTACAAACCCCTGCACAAACTGCTGTTCACTTAGCAACGCTAATCCCTGTGCCTGAGGACACTTCCGCCTAGCCATGCAGATTAGGTTGGTGGGGGGCAAGGGTAGAAGGGAGACAGGTGCACCTTCCTAAGGAATTTGCCTGTTTCTCCTGCCACCACACCCAGTTAACATTTTGTGTCCCAAATTCTTGGTGTGATCAGGTAGATTCCCCGGGAGCCTTAATTACCTCCCACCCTCACCCTTCAGTAATTCATTGCTACTACAATCCAACACATCTTTTTCCATGCTCATGTCTTTGAGGGAAAGGTGTTTAGGTGGAGAGTAAGTTGACAATCCATGTTCTTCCCAGTAGATGAGACTAGAGTTGCCCTTTGAGAATCAGTCACAAATTAGCCTTACTCCCTCCCATTGCACCATGGGCATTTGGGCTCCCAGGAGGTGGAGCAGGAAGTGTGGTCATAAGACTGAGAGGTGGGCTGGGAGATAGAGGTCTTCCTCTCATGGGGGCCCCCACCCATCCTGGCCTAGTAATCTCCCTTTGCCATCAAATCCATCAGGCCCCTTGCTCAGAGGGTTCTCCATTTCCAGCCACAGCTATTGTGAGGGCTTTACCAGCTACCCAGATAACTGGAAACAGAAGTGACCACACAAGAAGTTGCTCTCTCTCCTGCCCAGCTGGCCAGCAAAAACCCAGATGGCATCTTTCAGTCTACATCTTGAACTCATACCTCCTCCAGGCTTTTCCTGTACATTGTTCCTGGGTCACAGTAGTGACTCCCTAGAGCAGCTGACTCAGTTGGACATTGGCCTCCCTTGTGGGGGGTTGGGGAGATTAAGGTTCCAAGCATTCATCTCCCCATCTCCCTGGTCCTGTCTTTCAAATGAGACAACTGCAGGAGCAATGAAATTGGCTTCCCTTGGTTTGTCAGGCAAATAAACCCTTTGGATTTATTTCCTCCTATCCCAAGACCCAAGGAAGAGCTGTCAGCTCAGTCTATGCCCCCTGCTCAGTTCTTTCCATCCTGCTCTCCAGATAAGGCCACAATAGGTTTGCATCCACTGCTATGGAAGAATTAGGAAGCTCTTTCAAGACCTAAGCTAAACAGATTTTTGCTCATAATCCCACCCTGCTGTCTGCCTTGAGGAATTTAGCCAAGTCCCTGGACTCTTTAGCCCTTTGAGCTTGCTTTTCTTCCCAGTCCCTCTGGTAAAATTCCCCAATGCCATGCAGAGTTGTTTTCATCTCCAAGAAACAGAACCATAGTCTTGTGCATCCATATCCTATTGATCTGGAAGAAGGCTTAGCCTTGTTTCTTCAGCTTGTCTTGAGTAAGTGGCCTTATTGCTTTTACCCTTAGCTCAGGGTAGTCTCTTTCTGCTCAGCTGTTATATATAGGTGGCAACCAACACCTTTATCTATGTAACCCTTTCTTTGGGTGTAGGGCAGAGGATGAAAAAGGAGTTGGGGGAAGAAGAGGGAGGCTCCTGGTATTCCAGGAGGAAAATAGAGTCCTCTGCTCAAGGTGATCTAGTCTTTGAATAGTCTAGCTTTCTGGTTATCCCTAGCAGTTGCAGGCCCCTTAAAAGGTGGGGTTTGAGCCCTGGCTGGTGTGGCTCAGTGGATTGAGCGCGGGCCTGCGAACTAGAGGATCGCAGTTCAATTCCCAGTCAGGGCACATGCTTGGGTTGCAGGCCAGGTCCCGGCAGGGGACACACTATACATTGTGCGTCCCCAGCAGAGGCAACCATACATTGATACTTCTCTCCCTCTGTCCTTCCCTTCCCCTCTAAAGATAATAAATAAAATCTTAAAAAAAAAAAAAAAAAAGGTGGGGTTTGAGAAGAACACTTCCTATTTTAAAGCCTTGAGCCAAGGACGGGTCAGAAGCCAGCCTACAGCTGAGGCCTCAGCAGTGCCAGGGCCCAGGCAGCAGCTAAGCAGGCCAGCCCTGCAGGAGGTAACTCCGGAGACCTGATCCTCTGTCCACGTTACTCCCTCAGAGCTCCATCCAAATCGCCTTTGAGGAGGTGCCCCAACTCCCATCCAGAGCCAACATTAGTCATGTGACCTGCGTAGACCAATCAGAGCACACCATGGTAAGGGTCTGATGGGCAATATCTTCTTTAGGGTTTCATAGGGGGCTGATTCCAAGAGTTCCCTTTAGTCGAAGGGTTCTTAAACTGAAGTTGATGAATAATGTAGGGGCTAAGGATTGGCTTCAGGAGGTCTGAGATCCCACTAAAGTTACATGCAAAATGTAGTATATGTGTTTATATATGTATTTTTCTGCTTTGGCATTTATATGATTTATTTATGGACTTGTAGCTCCAGAGAATCAAGTCTCAAGGACCACTGAGCCCTGGCTGGGTAGCTGAGTTGGTTAGAGCATCATCCTGATATGCCAAGGTGTAGCCTCAATTCTGGTTGGGGCCCTTCTAGAATCAACCATTGAATTCATAAATTAGTAGAACAAGTCACTATTTCTCTCTAAAATCAATGAAAAATTTTTAATAAACTATAAAAGGAAAAAGGACAACTGAAGTGGAAAGGGGGTCTGCTGACCCACTGCAGGGCAGGATTGAGTGTCCCTCTTCCATGCCTAACTCTCTTTGCCTCCATGCCTTGCCTGTCTCAGATGCTTCATTGCCAGCTCTCTGCTGAGGAGGTGATGTTCCCAGTTTCTGTGACCCAACAGTCACCAGCTGCTGTCTCCATGGAGACCTACCACATCATTTTGACACTGCTACCAACACAGGTGTGTGTGTGTGGGGGGGGGGGACGTGGGAAACAGAGTTGAGCAGAGGGTGGTATAGTTGCCTCAGCCTTTTCAGTTTGGTTCCTTTCTGAGGTGTAATTTGGGAGGGAGGGTCATGGGGAGTGGGAATAGTCAGAGGACTGAAGCAAGTCAACTTAACTCCTTTGTTCCTGTCCCTAGTTGGAAGTCACTCTGGAGGAAATCCCTAGTGAGGGGCTACTTGTATCCTGGGCCTTCAGTGATCGCCCAGATCTCAGCCTGAAAGTGTTTCCCAAGCTCCAGGCCACAGAGGTAAGGGAGCAGGGCTGGTGGGTGCCAGGAGAGGCAGAACAGGGAGGGGGCAGGAGAGCTAGGGAGCCCCACCTATTCGTTCTCCTTTTCTCCTCACTGCAGAGAGGTGAAGAACAAGTAGAGCTCTCCACTATTGAGGAACTGGTTGAGGATGCCATAGTCAGCACCCAGCCAGCCATGATAGTCAACCTCAGGGCTTGCTCTGTCCCTGGAGGTCTGGTGAGTAGGCCCTCAAAGCAAATAATTTGCAGGCATACTGTCTCCAGGGTACTATGTTAGAATTCTCGTTTTATCTACTTTTTCTCTTAGTTACACAGTAAGAAACCACCCATGGCATACCAGGCCCAGCCAGCCACCCCCAGACCTACCCAGTTATTTCTACGGCAGCTTCGAGCATCACATCTGGGAAGCAAGCTGGAAGGTGAGAGCTAGAAGTGGCTGGGGGACGGCCAAGGCTATGGTCGCAGGTGCTCCCTGCCCTTCTGCCAAGGGTATGGCCTCTCTTTTCCTCAATGGCTTCCCATCTTTGATCTGAACATCTACTAATTTGCTTCCACACAGGCACAGGGGAGTTGTGCTGTGTAGCTGAGCTCGACAACCCCATGCAGCAGAAGTGGACCAAGCCCACAAGGGCTGGTCCCGAGGTGGAATGGACTGAGGACCTGGCACTGTAAGGAGTGACTCCCTCACCCCCACCCTAGCTCTCCTATGGGCAGACTGAGAATCACCCTGTTCCAGCATGGCCCTGGCACGAACCAGCTGCTTTGACTAAACCTTGGTGTACATTTTTTATATGCCAGACCCCAACCTAGGTCCTGGGGATACAGACATGACCAAGATACATTCCCCACCCTGAGTTGATTTCAGTCTTGAGACAGAGACAGATATATGTAGAAAAGATGGTATAAGTGCTCCAGTTGAGGTTTACAAAAAGTGCATGGGAGCACTTACTTGGGGGAGATTAATTCCTGTAGGGGAATAATGATCAGAGTATGCTTCATGGAGAAAATGATATTTCAACCATACCTTAGCCCTGGCCAGATAGCTTAGTTGGTTAGAACAATGTCCTGATAGTCCAAGGTTGTTGGTTCGATCCCTGGTCAGGGCACATACAAGATACAACCATACATGAATAGAACAACAAATCGATATCTCTCTCTCCCTCCCCCCTTTCCTCTCTCTTTCTTTAAAATCAACTTTAAAAACCCACAAAACCTACCTTAGAAGAAGAGTAGGATTTCAACAGACTGTGAAGGAGGACAAGTATTCCTGGCAGAGGGAAGAGCTTGAGCAAAGGAAAGATGGTGATTTGACATATGGAGAGAGACTTGGAAGGCAGGGTGGGGCAGGACCAGGGAGGATTTGAATGCCCAGTTGGGAAGTATGCCCTCCACTCAAGCCCCGTCCCATTCTCTTGGAAGAGAAAGTATTTGGAGGGCAGGGATTAATCTGTTTGGAGCATTTGCACCATCTTATTTATGTATATCTTTCTCTGCCTCTGTCCTGTGATGAGCTCCAGGGTGGATTCCCTTTGCTAACCTTCTTCCTCCCTGCCCCCTCCTTCTTTTGGCCATAGGGATCTGGGCCCCCAGAGCCGGGAACTGGCCCTCAAAGTGCTGAGGAGTAGCAGTTGTGGAGGCAGTGAGTATGAGGCAGGGTGGAGCACCTGTGGGTGGGTGCTGAGTGGAGTCTGGTCATGCGCCAAGCTCACAGTGCGGCTTCTTCCCCTAGCTGAACTTCTAGGCCAGGCCACACTGCCTATGGGCTCCCCTTCCAGACCACTGTCCCGAAGACAGGTTTGCCCACTCACCCCTGGGCCAGGGAAAGCCCTGGGACCAGCAGCCACCATGGCAGTGGAGGTAAGAACCTGATTCCTGGGAGAAGGTGGGCGGAAATGGGGGAGGGCAGTCTTTGAGGTCTAACCTCTTTGCTTTTCCACCCCTTGACAGCTTCAATATGAGGAGGGCTCACCCCAGAAACTGGGCACTCCTACCTGCTCCACTCCACGCCCTAGCATCACACCTACCAAGAAGATCGAGCTGGACCGGACCATTATGCCTGATGGTACCATTGTCACCACAGTCACCACTGTTCAGTCCCGGCCTCGTGTAGATGGCAAACTAGGTAACAAGAAGGAGCCTGAGAGCCCAGCCCCACCTAGGGGCCCCAAACTGCAGATCCATGTCAGGACAGGGAATGGGCAAAGGAATGCCCTAATTCCACCTACCCCTGGTTTTCTGCCAGAACTTCCTCATTATCTTTGTCTCTGTCAGACTTTCTCTTACATCCCTCCATTTGCCCAACTTTCCCCCCTCTCACTTTTCAATCTTGGATCCACCAACCCCTCACATGTGACTCTCGCACTTCCACCTCCTTGGGTTCCCTCTGTCTTTTCACAGGTCTGTGCCCCTCTCTTTCTCCAGCCCTAACTGCCTAATCATCCCTCAAACTTCCAGTATCCTGTGGGATCTTGCAACACACCCAGTGGCCTCTGTGGTATTTCTCCTACTCCAAGGGTCCCTCCATGACATTTCTCCTATCTCTAGGGGTCCTGTGGAATTATTCCTGCCACCTCTGCACCTCTCAGTATTTTTATGGCATCTCCCCAAAACCCTCAGTGGGCCCCACAGCACTTTCACACACTCCCATTGTTTTCTGTGGTGTCTTTTTGTCCCCATGGCATTGTCTTAATCACTCCTGTGATTAATCATCTCTTAGTCACTCCTGCCCTCTGAGTCACCAAAGTCTACATCTCAAAAAAGACCAGGTGGGAGCCACTCTAAGCACCTCCCAGCTCACTAACCTTCCCCCACCCACCAGACTCCCCCTCCCGCTCCCCGTCCAAGGTGGAGGTAACTGAGAAGACAACAACTGTGCTGAGTGAGAGCAGTGGCCCCAGCAGTACCTCCCACAGCAGCAGCCGTGAGTGGGGAACCGGGAATTGTAAATGTTGGTTGGTACTGGGGCCTGAGTCAAAGACAACTTTGGGTGGGCCACAGGAGTTCAAGTCCAAGAAGGAGCTAGGGAAGAGTCAGGTTGTCCACCCTCTGTATCCCCAGCAGTGGAGAGCCATCTTTCCAACGGCTTGGACCCTGTAGCAGAGACAGCGATTCGCCAGCTGACTGAACCCAGTGGGAGAGCAGCCAAGAAGACACCTACTAAGCGTAGCACTCTCATTATCTCTGGTGTTTCCAAGGTAACAGGCCTCTGGGGAGAGGAGCTGGGTTAGGCCTAGGAGCTGAGAAAGACCTAATGGGTCACCATGATCCATCGAAACTTGTCCCTCTTGCCAGGTGCCCATTGCTCAGGACGAGTTGGCACTGTCCCTGGGCTATGCAGCATCTCTGGAAGCCTCAAAGCGGGATTATGCAGGGAACAGCAGAGGTCCCTCTTCGCCTCTCTCAGATGACCCACCAGCCATGTTTCCAGGACCCCTAGATGTTCTCTCCAGTCCCACAAGTGTCCAGGAAGCAGATGAGACAACACGTTCAGACATTTCTGAGAGGCCTTCTGTGGATGATGTTGAGTCAGAAACAGGATCTACTGGTGCCCTAGAGACCCGAAGCCTCAAGGATCACAAAGGTGGGGAGATATTGGCAGGCCCCCATTCTTTTTTTTATTTTTATTGATTTTAGAAAGAGAGTCGCAGTGGGAGGGAGAGAGAGAGAAACGTGGATTTTGTTGTTCCACTTATTTATGCATTCATTGGTTGATTCTTGTTTGTGCCCTGACTGGGGATTAAACCTGCAGTCTTCACATATCAGGACAATGCTCTAACCAACTGAGCTACCTGGCCAGGGCTTTCCCCCACCTTCTTTTATACCCAGTATCATGACCTGGGTCCTGCTGGACCCTTAGGAACATGAAAGCCTCAAGCCCCAATTTGCCTTGTTTGTCCTTTCCTTAGGTATTGCCAGAGATCCTAGCCTGTTTTAGCCAAGCTAAATTAGAGAGAGGGAACTTGATGCTTTGGGTCCTGTGGCATCATTTACCACCTTCTCCCCATCCTCGTGTTTAAGTGTATATTTCTCTTCCCTTGTTCTTTTCTTTCTTCCCTTTCATTAGTACTCTTTCCCCTGTGTGTATAAGAAATCCTGCCCTGGGCTAACCCTAGGAGTGTCCCTCTAGCAGTGATACAGTTTGTGGATAGCTGTGGTACTTCTTCTAACTTCTAAAGATGAAGTGCTTGCCCCCAAACATCTTCATCCCTCTTGTCAATTAGTCTATCAACCACGAATGTATTTAACTATTTATGATTTAAGCCTGCATCACTTCCTGGGATTATGAGATTTCTAAGTTCAAAGCCTGCTGTGTAAGCACCTTCCTCATTATATTAATCTGAATTTACCTCTTTGAAGTTTCCCAGATACACCCCTTCCTGCTCACATCCTGGAATTTTGTCAGTAAGTCAGTTTCAACCAACCTTGTTTCTTCATGCCTGCTTCTAAGGATGATTTTTTAAAAAACACCCCTTGCTCAGCCTTTGTCTTTCCATTTTAAAGAGGACCAGTTTCCAGGCCATCTTCATAGAGTAGCTGGCCTCATGCTATTTCTCCTCAGAGCCAGTAGCCCAGAGTGCACACAGAATCCTATAAGTATCACCATTTTTTCCTCAGGAAGGATAAAGGACAGGTTTTGTCTCTACTTTCTTTCTTAAGGAAGCCTGACTTCTAGGCCAAGGGCCTAGTTCTGTTCTGCATCACTGACCCCTCCATGCTTGGTCTTTTCTGTGCTCCCTACGTCACCACAGCCCATTTGTGCCCCTCTCTGTGTGCCTCAACCACCCCTCTCCCCCCACAGTGAGTTTCCTGCGCAGTGGCACCAAGCTCATCTTCCGACGGAGACATCGACAGAAGGAAGCTGGTCTGAGCCAATCACATGATGACCTCTCCAACACATCGACCACACCCAGTGTCCGAAAGAAGGCTGGCAGCTTTTCTCGCCGCCTTATTAAGCGCTTTTCCTTCAAATCCAAACCCAAGACCAATGGCAACCCCAGCCCCCAGCTATGAGGGCACTTCTCATCTTCTCAGCTAGGAGAGGGCAGGAGTCCTCTGAACCTATTTCCCACATCCCATTCCATTCCCCTTCCTGCATTCCCAACATCCTAGGCCAAGGAAGCCCTCTGGGTTCCAGGAAGCCCTCTTTATCCTGGGCTGTGGGGCCAGTTGGAAGGGTACTTGCAGTGGGAAGCCTGTGAGAGATGAGCACCTTTTGCTGAGGACATGAAGCATGTGGCTAGGTGTCAGAGGAGGGCTCTGTCCTGGCATGTGTGGGCATTCCTCAGAACTGTTTGCCTGCTGTTGACACTGGTCCTTTAGAGAGTCCCAGGGTGATTAAGTCCTCAGCTGATCCTTCCTCCCTTATTTATTCTCTTTTCTATTTATATGTGTGGTTCAGGGCCCTCTGTGAACAGATGATAGAGGGCATCTCTCCCAGGTGACCCTTCTTTCCTGTCTCAAGAGGATAGGCAATTCCCTTTGGAATGGGGCTTCCACACCTTCCTTAGGTTCCTACTCTGACCAGCACTAGTGTCTCCCTCTGAGGACGCTGACAGCTCATACAAAGTTGGGCCAGTGCCTGAGATGGGGGGGCAGGTACTCCCCACCTCTCTGCCTCCACTTCTGTTCCTCATCTCTTCTTTCCCCTTTATTATCATTTTTGTACTTGATGCTTCCTCCATGAGTAGTGGCTCTTTTGGAAGAAGGGATTCAGGGGCCTGATGGGAATCCTTCCCTGGGCAGATGGCTTTGGGGACTTTATGTAAAGACCGTGATGATGGAGCATGAGCAGTTTGCACCTTGGTGTGTTGGGAGATAATGATGTCTGTTGCTGTCTGATGGCTTGGAATTTAATTTATTAAAGTCAAATTGGAGTTTATCAACTGGACAATTGGTTATCCTTTGAAAGGCAATGGGACAGTGAGGCTGTGGTATTGATGGAATGGGAGGACCAGACACAGGGCCCAGGTAGTGATGTGGGGAAGGTGACACAAATACTGGTTCTGCTAAGAAATTCCTATAGGGAGGAAGCAACATGTGGAAAGAGGATGGGAGAACAAGAGTCTTTGAAGGATGAAGTTGTAACAAAAAGTCAATCAGAAAAATAAATCGGCTAGTACAGGCATTTTCATCTTCATTTCTCTTTCTTGAACAAGCTGTTCCTTCCAGGATATAAGAGTACAGAGCATGGACTCTGGATCTCAGCTGCCTGGGTTTGACTCCATTTCCACTAATTACCTTTGTGACTTTGGGCAAATTGTGTAACCTCAGAGTGCCTCAGTTTTCTCATCTGTGAAATGGGTAATGTGATAATAGTAGCTATTATTTGGTTGTTGATGAGAAGGAACTGTTACCTCAGAAGAGACAGATTGGAAGGGGGAAGTCTTTTTAAAATTTTTCAATTACAGTTGACACTTAATATGATTTTAGTTTCCAGTATACAGTATAGTGGTTAGACAGTTATATAATTTATGAAGTGGTCCCCCAGATAAATCTAGAACCCACCTGGAACCATACATAGTTCTTACAACATTAGTAACTATATTCCCTATGCTGTACTTTATACCCCCATGACTATTTTGAAACTACCAATCAGTACTCCTTAATTCCTTCACCTTTTTCATCTTACCTACACAAACCCCCACTCTGGCAACCATCTGTTTGTTCTCTGTATCTTTGAATCAGTGTCTGTTTTGTTTGTGCACATTTTTTGTTCTTTAGACTTCAGAACCATAAGATGCACCTAAGTTTTAGAAGAGGAAAATAGGGAAAAAAATTCTGAAGCAAAAAATGTGGTAAAATATTTAATTATATAAATAACAATATTTCACCAATGTAAATGTAATGCTACATTCCAACTCTAAGACACCCCCTTTCCCTCCAAATTTGGGGGGTGCATCTTATAATCTGAAAAATACAGTAAGTGAAATCATATGGTATTTGTCTTTCTCTGTCTGGCTTATTTCACTTAGCACAATTCCCTATAGATCTATCAATGCTGTTGCAAATGGTAAGATTTCATGCTCTCCTATGGCCAAGCAGCATTTCATTGTATATACATACCACATCTTCTTTATCCAATCACCTATAATGCTGCATCACCTATAATGTAAATAATGCTGCAGTGAGCATAGAATGCATGTACCTTTTTGAATTAGTGTTTTGGATTTCTTCAGATAAATATTCAGAAGTGGAATTGCTGAGTCATAAGGTAGTTTTATTTTTAATTTTTTAAGGAGTCTCGATGCTGTTTTCCATAGTGGTAGCATCAGTTTGCAATCAGGAAGGGGAAGTCTTATAATGGTTTTTCTAAATGTGGGCCAGTTTCAGGGAGTTATGGATACTAGCAAATTATATGTCCTTGGTTCCTGTTCTGTGAGACCTTACACAGGACTCAAAATAGGCAAGCTGCTGCAGGATATCAGAGCACTAGACCAGGGACAGACAACCTGAGTATGCTACAGACACACCACATGACCTTAAGCAGACCACTTCTTTCTGGTCCCCAGCTTCCTTGGCTCTAAAATGAAGGGTGGCCTAGATAATCATTCAGGTCACTCTCAACCTTATCTACATCACAGGGAGTTCAGGGCACATGCTTTTGGGAGGCAGGATGGAACTATTAATATTTCCCATTATGCTGTTCATACTGGTCACAGAATATGGGATATTTAGAAAGTGTGGCAGTGTGTGGATATTTTGTTAATCTGAATATAGTGATATACTCAACTCTAAGTCACGAAAACTCAGATTTATCAAGCTATTTCCTCTAATGTAAGGAATGCAACTCCCAGTGGTTCACAGAGGAACAGTTTGTTACACATATGACAAGACAGCCAAACACACTGAACTTTAAATTTCACAAGAAAGTTGTTGATAGGAGAGCAGGTATTCATTCCCACTGAACCTGTCGGTTGAGTGGGTGGTAACTGGAAATTGTACTTGGCTTCCAGTGCTGAGCTACCCAGAGATCAATGGAACCCATTAGTGAAGAAGAGACTAATCACAAAAATAGGACTTTTAAAAATGAATGCAAAAGATATAGAAAATATAATGTAATTAACTTTATCCATTTTACATTTTCAGAACAGATCCGCAGCTTTTTTTTTTTAATAAATTGGCGGGTGGGGTTAGATTTTATTTATTGATCTTTAGAGGGGAAAGGAAGGAGAGAGGGAGAGAAATATCAATGTATGATTGCCTCTCATGTGTCCCCTGCTGGGAACTGGCCTGCAACCCAGGCATGTGCCCTGACTGGGAATCAAACCGAGATTCTTTGGTTCGCAGGCCCATGCTCAATCCACCGAGCTACACCAGCCAGGGCAGATCCACAGCTTTTGATGAGTATGAATTATACTTTAAGTTTTTGTGGCAGCTTTTTAAGAACAAATCTCAGAATGTATATGAATTACCCAGCCAAAATTGAGGTTTATTAAAAAAAAAAAAAGATTGAGATGAACTCAAGTATACTAGACAGCACAACACTGCCTCAAGTTTAGGAAACATATGGATCCTAGAACTATCTTGAAATTTTTGCTCTGTAAAAATTGTTTGAGACTACATGACTGTGAGTGAAATTTTTCTTCACAAAATTTCTGAATTAAAGTTAATAGCCATCTTCAATGGTATAAATCTGAATTAAAATAAGATTAGCATCTCATGAAGTATTAATATAACCATGCTTTTGAATGAATAAAGTTGGTGAAATATATTTTACTATTGTATTATATTTTTAAATGACAAAGCTATAATTCACTTGTTAATAAACTTCATGTACAAATTCCTGATTTAACTATAACTTGGGTATTTTTGACTTTGTCATATTTTTATTTTATTTTATTTTTAGGGAGAGAGAGAAAGGGAAACATCAATTTGTTGTTCCACTTATTCATGCATTCATTCATTGGTTGATTCTTGTATGTCCCCTGACCAGGGATTAAATCTACAACCCTGGTCTTTGATTTTGCTATTTTTAAGGGCATCTTTATTTTATTTTATTTCATTTCATTTTATTTATTTAAAAATTTTAAAACTGTGTTGATTAATTTTATAGAAAGGGGAAAGGAGAGAGAGAGAGAGAAAAACTTCAGTTGATTACCTGCCATACACACTCCGACTTGGGGGTTGAACCCACAACCTACGTGTGCGCTCTGACCAGGAATTAAACCCCAACCTTTTGGTGCATGGGGCGACACTCCAACCAACTGAGACACACTGACAAGGCCATCTATATTTTATTTTTAACACTTGATGTGTTTTCTGATTAAATATATAAGTTTATTTTTAGGTTTGATAAATAGAACAATAAAATAGCTGTTAATTCCAGTGAACTTTATTAAGGTACAGAATTTAATGAACATATCTTGAACCCTACTGACTTGCAGCTACTAGGCTAAGTGATGGAATTATAAAGGTGAAGAATACATATCATCCCTGCCCTCACTGAACTGAGTCTGGTGCAGACTGCAGACAAGTAAACAGGCAAATACCATACATGATAGTGTTACTGAACAATAACAACAAAAAAATCCCAGAAGTTCAGCTGCCTGTTGCCACAAAAGCCAAACTGGTGAGGCAGGTGCTGGTGCAAAAGGAAAGAGATTTATTCAGGTGCCGCACAACCTGGGAGAATGGTGGATTCCTGTTTCAAAGACCATCTCAATCTTCCTGCTCAAGCCTGCAGTTCTCATAGGAATAGGGAGAGGAGGGCTATCTTCCTGATTCAATTATCTTTCTACTTTTTGGTCGTGTGCTTGGAGCCCTATCCATTCATCTTTCTACCTTTCCACGCACTTGGTCCCTGTCCATATTTCTAGCTTCTAATATGCTTGGGCCCTGCCCATTTATCTTTTTAACTTTTCACACAAGCTTGAGCCCTATCATTCATATTTCTAGCTTTCAGCATGCTCAGTGTAAGAACCTCCTTCTGCTACCATCTTGGCCAATGTGTGAAGACTCACCTGGTACTCCAACTGACTGTTTCACACTAACAGTTCCCCCCTTTAAAATTCTGGACCTTTGTAATCTTACAAGGGTAAATGGACAAAGGTGTCATTTTTTCTGTAGTAACTTCCTGCTGGCAAAGGACATAGTCTTGCCTATCTCTTGGTCCAGAGATTCTCACTGTCTAACAAAGGAAGTGGGAGTCGGCAATGAAGGGAAGCCTTTATGTGAGGGAGAAGGATTGCTGTCTTTGGAAGGTGGCATGTGAGGTGTCTCAAGGGTGGCACTGCTGAACAAGCAAAGCTGGTAGACTGCTTCATGATTCAAGAAATGGTGCTATAGATGAGCTTCCAAAGTGAAACCTATTGTGCAGAAAAATAAGTGTTTAGTGAAGGATATATCCAGTAGTGCAGGGGGAATTGTGGTAAAATCAGAAATTGGAGAGACTAAAGGATCCCCATGGTCTAACCCTGAGTGGTGGTACACTCAGTAGCAGAATAAATTTGCTGAAGAATTCACTGTACGGGAAATGCAAATAAAATAAAAAGAAAGCCCTGACTGATATAGCTCAGTGGATTGAGCGTGGGCCTGCGAACCAAAGGGTCAGTGGTTCAATTCCCTGTCAGGGCACCTGCCTGGGTTGCAGTTCAGGTCCCAAGTACAGGCCGTGCAAGAGGCAACCACACATTGATGTTTCTGTCTTTCTCTTTCTCCCTTCCACTCTAAAACAATAAATAAAATCTCTTTAAGAAAATAAAAATAAACATTGTCACTTAGCTTTGGGAGGCACAGTCGCTTCTCAAAAGACGAACTTTAAATCTCCTTCAGGAGTGCAGGTCCAACTTTCCCTGGCAGTATCAATAGCAGCAGTAAGATCCAAGTCCTTCTCAGGTGGCACCTACTTTCCCCGTGTATGGTAGATCCAAGACTTGATTC